TTAATCAGTAGAGGAGGGGAAGCCGGGGAGGACGCTGGGCAGAGGATGAGAGATCCAGGAGGGGTGAGGTAGCAGAGGGAAAGCCAAACAGGAACGGCGGAGGAGGATGGGACGTGATGAGTATGTTCCAGAAAACGAAGACAGCGAGGGTGAGTAGATGATGAGATGATCCTAAACTGGTGCAATCATCCGGCAAAGTGATGTGTCTCCATCCTCCTTTTGAACCCGCGTCCCTGATTGGGAAATCTCCTGCAGCTGCCGCTCCCCCTGCTCCTCACCTGTGGAGAATTAGCTCAGTCTGGTGAGAGGAGAAGGTGTGACTCACCTCTGCCCAGGAACATGACACATGGCTATATATATATATATATATATATATATATATATATATATATATATATATATATATATATATATATATATATATATCAGACGTCAAGTTAAACCTAAACAGACAGGGTTAAGAAAATATGATCGGCCTTTTCCCCCATCACTTTCATTTTTTAAATAGTAGTTAATAAACATTCGATACCATTACAATTTCCTTTGATTTAATTTTAAATAAATATTTAGAGTGCCCAGGTAGCACATCAACAATGCAATTTAACGGTTTTCTTAAAGTAGGGACGTTTAACCAGAGCGCTCTCCTTCCTTCTGCTCTGCGTAAACCTGTGCTGGTCACCTGTGCGTAATCAAATGTTATAGGGATAAGATATAGCCATGAGGTTCAATTTTGCCTCAGACCGACTTATTGCTGTTTTATGGTGTGGCTGAATCTGCGATCCGCTGCCACGCGGACTGGAATAACAAATGCAGCAGTAACGGGAGTTGTGGTCAGGTTCATGAGGAGTCACTGGCTGGAGCGGACCCGACTTTAATACGTCATCCCAAAATAGAAGCTAATATCTTAATTTGACCTTGAATGAAAAATGTTGTTATAAAACCTCTTAAAAGTTTTTTATCACGGAGGAGGCAGCGCTCATTTCTGCCTTCAGTCTGACAGCGCGCCGGAGTTTGCGCAGCGTGCGCGCTTATTGAATCTGTGTGTGTGTGTGTGTGTGCGTGTGTGTGTGCGCACGCGTACGGCACAGCTCCATGAGCCGCTCAAGTCACCGCGTCTCGTTATTGGCGATATTTAAACCAATGTTGTAAAATTACTTCTGCCCAGCCCAGATGTGCTCACTTGTGCACCCGTGAGCCGTGGTTCCGCTGGAACGCGTCTGACCTCTGACAGACGCACTCTGAACTTTAGATCTTCAGCGCGCTGTCAATAGCCTGAATGGGAATCATTTCTTGATTCATTTTGTTACATCCACAATGTTCTGTGTGTGAGGTTTACAACGTCAGAACACCTGCCTGAGACAGTGTCTTAATTACAATCTGCCAGAATGACTCGCCACCTTCAGATACCTCCAACACCGTTAAAAATGATCAAATACGGAACATATCGGCGTGCGCCAGGCCAGAGTGCTAAAGCTGGGCGCATTGTTATTATGAAGCTAGGACACATGTGGAGGACACACTCGCAAAAACATACTTGTTTTCAGTTACATTTATTGTGCCCACTTACTTTTTCTTAGGCCCACCCACAAATGAGTTTCTGGCTATGCTAATGGTGACATATGACAGACTTCTCTGAGCTCCGCAGCCATTACACTTTTCACCTCGCGCACCCCCTAGCGGCAGATCGCGCACCCCCGGGGGTGCGCGCACCACACTTTGGGAATCCCTGTGCTAGACGATGGCCCCCTCCATGAGGCCACCACAGCTCAGCAGAACATCGTTGTAGCTTCTTCTGGGGAGAAAAACACTTAGAGAGAAAATAAAGTTAACCGCTGAAATTGCAGGAAATAATACAGTTAAAGAGCAGATTGTAGAAGAAAGTAGTCAAGTGTGAAAAGTGGTCAGTGTATCCTCCAGCAGTCTAAGCCTATAGCAGTATAACTACAGAGATAACCTAGCCTTTTAGATGTAGGCATGTTGGAGGCAGGGCATGGGAGAGCCGTCTTTACCGACTGTACACTCCACCTCTCTCTACTCCCCCACTTGTCCGGATCTAGGCTAACATCAGATTTTAACCATAAGCCCTATCAAATAAATATGTTTTGAGCCTATTCTTAAAAGTAGACAAGGTGTTTGCCTCACAGACTAAAGCTGGGAGCTGGTTCCACAGGAGAGGAGTCTGATAACTAAAAGATCTGCCTCCCATCCTATTTTTAGATAATCTGGGAACCACCAGTAAACCTGCAGTCTGAGAGCAAAGTGCTCGGTTAGGAACGTATGGAACAATCAGATCACTGATGTATGATGGAGCTTGATTATTAAGAGCTTTATATGTGAGAAGGAGGATCTTAAAATCTATTCTGAATTTAACAGGTAGCCAATGTAGGGAAGCTAAGACAGGAGAGATATGATCTCTCTTTTTAATTCTCATCAGAACTCTAGCTGCAGCATTTTGGACACTGAATACTTTTAACTACATTCTGTGGACTTCCTGAGAGTAATGAATTACAGTAATCCAGTCTTGATGTAATAAATGCATGAACTAGTTTTTCAGCATCACTCCTGGAAAGGATGCTTCTAATCTTAGCAATATTCCGAAGGTGGAAGAAGGAAATCCTACAAACCTGATTAACCAGGCATTTGAATGACATGTCCTGGTCAAAGATAACACCAAGGTTCCTTACTTTGTTCTCGGAGATTAATGTAATGCCATTAAGGTCAGGCGACTGGCTAAGCAATTTCCTTTTCTGGATTTCTGGTCCAAAGATGAGAACTTCCGTCTTGTCTTGATTTAAAAGCAAAAAGTTTAGAGTCATCCAATTTTTTATGTCCTCAAGACAAGCCTGTAATCTACCCAACCGATTAGGTTCATCAGGGTTAATGGATAAATATAGCTGAGTATCGTCAGCATAACAGTGAAAGTTTATCCCTTGCTGTCTAATGATTTTACCAATTGCAAGTGCATGAAGAGATGGAGGAGAATGTGGGACAATTTTGTCCATGTTAAAAACTCTCTGAAATACAAAAAACACAACATAAACACGAAAGTAAATGCACTATCATGACCGAATACGTGACAGGATACTCCAGAAGCACGCTACGCCCTCTGTTCTTCTGGAGGGGAACTGCTTGGCAACACTCCCCAGGAGACGGAGAAGTGCAAGAGCGAAACGTTGTTATGTGTGCGTGTCTCTCCCTCAAGGAGCTGACGCAGAAGCATAAACTAGGCTTTAAGTAAAAGGACTTAAGCAGCAATCCAGCGTTTTCTCACGCTCTGTATTTTTACAATTTTTAATATATCCATCAAAGTGATAGTCTTGCCCTGTACGGTGATATACAGTACCATATCAAAATGTAATACAGATGTGACCCTGTCAGAAGGTTTACACGCCCCAGTGATTTTGCCTCAAACAACTTGTCACAAATGGATTTGAATGGCTGGGGTAGGCAACAGGGCCCAAAATGTTGTCACTGTACTTCAGAGCATTGTGATGATTAATCTGACTATTGAACAAAGTGGGCAGCAGGAGGTAGACCGGGTTGTCCAGTATGTGGGGGGTTGCAGGTTCGATCCCAGCTCCGACCAGAGAATGTCGCTGTTGTGTCCTCGGGCAAGACACAACCCACCTTACCTGCTTCTGGTTGGAGCGACCGGTGGCGCCGGTGTTTGGCAGACTCGCCTCTGCCAGTGTGCCCCAGGGCAGCTGTTGCTACATCGTAGCTCATCCCCACCAGGGTGTGAATGGGTGTGTGAAGTGGTGAATGACTGATTGTGTTGTAAAGCGCCTTGGGGGGTTGTAGAACCCTAAGAAGGCGCTATACGAACACAGGCCATTTACTAATTTCCAAGTCCGGAAAATGTTGATATTCATCTTTATTTCTTCTGTAGCAATAATCCCGTTACAACCATTTTATTTTTGCCCAGATTCCACATTTCCATTTTTAATTCCTCTGATTTCCACATTTCCATTCTAACTATATTTATTCACTTAAAAGTTTGATATTATAATCTGAGAGAATAATTAAACGCATAAGCTTCCAGAATGAAAAATGTAACTTTTGCTTTCACAAATATATCAACGTGCCGTAGTTCTGCAGAACACTGGGTGCTTCTGCAAGGTCTTTAACTCATTCACTGCCAGCCGTTTCCTGATCGGTAAAGCCCTTCACTGCCAGCGTTTCTCACCGTTTTTACTGTTCTTTTAAGAGTCACAGAACGTTGCGCGCTAGGACGACTCCAAAACTACCAAAACAAAGTGGAGACTCACCTCTTACATTAGGAAGAATCCGCGCATTTCGAGCGTTATCCGTTTTTTCATAATCCGTTGTTGAATTGTGATCGGCAGAAGCTTTTCCAGTTTGCATATCACTTTTTTTTTACAGCAGCGGCCCAAAACGATCTCCTAACACGTGGATTTTCTGCTTCCCGGTTACGTGACATGTGACGTATGCGGATGAAGATTGGCTTTAGAGCTGAGATGTTTGTTCTCACGGTGCGGGGGCTCGTTCCGACGCCCACACTGTAAAAAATGAAAATGACGACTTTAGTCGTCAATGGCAGTGAATGAGTTAACATATTTTACTCATCCTTTGATAAAAAAAATGCAATTCATGATTGTTAATGTGCAAAATTAGGTGTTACTGTGTTTTGTAGTCGACATAAGTGAGAGATTATGTCGGAGGTGAGCGGGAGAAGGAACGTGGTGGGTGCTGTTTGACATTTGACCGTTCTCACGCGCTTCCCAGTGTGATTTTCATCATTTAACTTCTATGAGACTAGAAGTTAAACTAATCGTGTTTTAATCCTGCAAACTTCTCCAAATATAAAAGTCCATCACAGATGTATATACCAAACTTGCTTTAGTACATTCTTACAAAAAAAAAACTTGTGATTTACAGGAATTCTGTAAAAATGGCCGCAACATCGTCATTTTCTGCAGCAACATAGTGGTCTCTCCCCTTTGTGACTGAGTGACGCTCCTTGTTGTTACCCCTTGCAGTGACCATGCGTCAGTTCGACCATCCTCACATAGTGAAGCTGATGGGAGTCATCACTGAGAATCCAGTTTGGATCATCATGGAGCTCTGCACACTTGGAGAGGTAGGACACCAGAAGATAAGAACATTTCGTTGTCATCTTTACACTGATTCATGCTTTTGTTTTGAAAATAAAAATCAATTTTTAATTTAATTTAGCAACTAACATCTGATCAGTACTGTGCAAAAATTAGTTTTAGATGTTGACGCCTTTCCAGTCCATTAGTTTCTTTCTGTAAACCTTTTAACTCTGACCTTATAGTCATTCAAACACAAAAGCCTAAACTCTAGGATTGGTTGAATTGTTGTGCTTATATAATTATAATTTTATAAATCAGCTCTATTTTGCAGACTGTCAATAAAAACATTTTTTCATTTTTTTGTATTTAAAGAAAATGAGCCAAAGTTCGCAGTAAAATAACAACTATTGTCATGGTCTGGCTTTGTCCTAGAAGCTAAGGGCAGCCAAGATCAAAGGTGGATTTTTAAAACCTCTTTCAGTAACCCTAGACAACCTTTTCCTAAAAATGATTCAAACACGAGTTACTTTATAATTAAACATCTTTCTGTGAAAGGTCCATGCTAATTCCATCCTGACTGGGACAAATACAGTGGGGCAAAAAAGTATTTAGTCAGCCACCGACTGTGCAAGTTCTCCCACTTAAATTGATGACAGAGGTCAGTCATTTTCATCATAGGTACACTTCAACTGTGAGAGACAGAATGTCAAAAAAAAATCCATGAATTCACATGGTAGGATTTTTAAAGAATTTATTTGTAAATCAGGGTGGAAAATAAGTATTTGGTCACTTCAAACAAGGAAAATCTCTGGCTCTCACAGACCTGTAACGTCTTCTTTAAGAAGCTTTTCTGTCAAATCTCATGGGGAGGGAGGTTTTTCTCACGCAGCACCCAAACTATGGAACGCACTACTCCTGCACATCCGGAAAGCACAATCATTACACGAATTCAAAACACGACTAAAAACCCACTACTCCAGCATTTCCTTTGGTTCCTAAAATGGCCACTCTTCCTATGCTCCCTGTAACTGTAGCCTCCCCTACCCATTGTTGTGCTTTTATCATGGGTGTAACGTCCAAAAGGGTCACTTTTCACCTATATATTGATCATTATGGTGACCTTTCATCTACAGCATAAATCCGCTTGTTTTGGCCTTCCAAATCCAGAAGGTTCTGTTCAGCGAGTGTTTACATAACTTCTTCGTCTTTGTCTTCCTCCGCTTATCCGGGACCGGGTCGCGGGGGCAGCATCCCAATTAGGGAGCTCCAGGCCGTCCTCTCCCCGGCCTTGTCCACCAGCTCCTCCGGCAGGACCCCAAGGCGTTCCCGGACCAGATTGGAGATGTAACCTCTCCAACGTGTCCTGGGTCGACCCTGGGGCCTTCTGCCGGCAGGACATGCCCGAAACACCTCCCCGGGGAGGTGTCCAGGAGGCATCCTGACCAGATGCCCAAACCACCTCAACTGGCCCCTTTCGATCCGGAGGAGCAGCGGTTCTACTCCGAGTCCCTCCCGAATGTCCGAGCTCCTCACCCTATCTCTAAGGCTGAGCCCGGCCACCCTACGGAGGAAACTCATTTCGGCCGCTTGTATCCGCGATCTCGTTCTTTCGGTTATTACCCAAAGCTCATGACCATAGGTGAGGATTGGGACGTAGATCGACCGGTAAATCGAGAGCCTGGCTTTCTGGCTCAGCTCCCTCTTCCCCACGACAGATCGGCTCAGCGTCCGCATCACTGCAGACGCCGAACCAATCCGCCTGTCGATCTCCCGATCCCTCCTACCCTCACTCGTGAACAAGACCCCGAGATACTTAAACTCCTCCACTTGAGGTAGGACCTCTCCCCCGACCCGGAGGTGGCAAGCCACCCTTTTCCGGTAGAGAACCATGGTCTCAGATTTGGAGGTGCTGATCCTCATCCCAGCCGCTTCACATTCGGCCGCGAACCTACCCAGCAAGAGCTGAAGGTCAGAGCTGGATGAAGCTAGGAGGACCACATCATCCGCAAAAAGCAGAGACGAGATTCTCCTGCCACCAAACTCGACACACTCCACACCACGGCTGCGTCTAGAAATTCTGTCCATAAAAGTGATGAACAGAACCGGTGACAAAGGGCAGCCCTGGCGGAGTCCAACCCTCACTGGGAACAGGTCCGACTTACTACCGGCTATGCGGACCAAACTCACGCTCCTCTGGTAAAGGGACTGAATGGCCCTTAACAGAAAGCCACCCACCTCATACTCCTGGAGCGTCCCCCACAGGGTTCCCCTGGGGACACGGTCATAAGCCTTCTCCAAATCCACAAAGCACATGTGGATTGGTTGGGCAAACTCCCATGCCCCCTCCATCACCCTTGCAAGGGTATAGGGCTGGTCCACAGTTCCACGGCCAGGACGAAAACCACATTGCTCCTCCTCTATCTGAGATTCAACTATCGATCGGACCCTCCTCTCCAGTACCTTGGCGTAGACCTTTCCAGGGAGGCTGAGGAGTGTGATCCCCCTATAGTTGGAACACACCCTCAGGTCACCCTTCTTAAAGATGGGGACCACCACCCCGGTCTGCCACTCCCTAGGAACTGCCCCCGATGACCACGCAATGTTGTAGAGACGTGTCAACCATGACAGCCCTACAACATCCATAGCCTTGAGATACCCAGGACGAACCTCATCCGCCCCCGGGGCTCCGCCGCTGTGTAGTTGTTTGACTACCTCAGCAACTTCTGCCCCCGAGATCGGACAGTCCATCCCCAGGCCTCCCAGCTCTGGTTCCTCCTCGGAATGCGCATTGGTGGGATTGAGGAGCTCCTCAAAGTATTCCTTCCACCGTCCGACTATAGCCTCAGTTGACGTCAGCAGCTCCCCATCCCCACTGTAAACAGTGTGAGCGAGTTGCTGCCTTCCTCTCCTGAGGCGCCGGACAGTTTGCCAGAACCTCTTTGGAGCCGATCGATAGTCTTTCTCCATGGCCTCACCAAACTCCTCCCACGCCCGAGATTTTGCCTCGGCAACTGCCACTGCTGCACCCCGCTTGGCTATCCGGTACCTGTCTGCTGCCTCCGGAGACCCACAGACCAGCCACGCCCTGTAGGCCTCCTTCTTCAGCCTGACGGCTCCCCGAACCTCTGGTGTCCACCAGCGGGTACGGGGGTTGCCACCACGACTGGCACCGGCCACCTTACGACCACAGCTAGCAACAGCCGCCCCGACAATCGCAGAGTGGAACAAGGCCCACTCGGACTCAATGTCCCCCACTGCTCTCGGGACGTGGTCAAAGCTCTGCCGGAGGTGGGAGTTGAAGACCGTCTTGACAGGTTCTTCTGCCAGGCGTTCCCAGCAGACCCTCACTATGCGTTTGGGTCTGCCAGGTCTACGTGGCATGTTCCCTTGCCATCTGATCCAACTCACCACCAGGTGGTGATCAGTTGACAGCTCCGCCCCTCTCTTCACTCGGGTGTCCAAAACATACGGCCGCAGGTCAGATGATACGACTACAACATCTATCATCGACCTGTGACCTAGGCTGCCCTGGTACCAAGTGTACCGGTGGGCATCCTTATGTTCGAACATGGTGTTCGTTATGGCCAAACTGCGGCTTGCACAGAAGTCCAATAACAAAACACCGCTCGAGTTTACATAACATGAAGACAAAACATTCAAACCAACATTCTCACCCAAGGTTCCTGCACTCACTGTGTGAACGCCAGACGTCAACATTCTTCACTCTGAATAAGTGAAGACTCCACGACGTTATAGTTATAAGTTAAATAATCATATGTGATGAATGAACAAGATGTTTAAATCAAATGTTTGAATAACCTGTGCATAAATCAATGAATTTGAAATGAATATTGTTCTTACAATTATCCATTTATATCACAAATCAGTATGTGTTTGATTTAACAAGTTAATGCGTACACTCATACAAATCACATGAGTTTTAAAGGGACTATAAGGAAGTTTGACAGCCAGAACATGTATAGAAATAATAAATGTCTTCTTCATACATTCTCCTGCAATGCCCTGATCCTGTAGAATGAGCCCTGGCATTTTTACTGTGATTGCCTGTTTTTCTGTAAAATCACAGAAAAAGAGCGATGCTCGGGTCGAGCAGGCTGCTTCATGCGCGTTCACGCTCAGACATAGCCCGTAGCATTTGCTATCCGTAGCTTTAGCAGCAGAGAGAGAGGCAGTGCCAACTCAGCGACTTTGTTGCTGTTCCTAATGCCTAGTGATGAACCTAGCTACATTTCTGAGGACCCTTAGCTACTTTCTGTAGAACTTTCTTCTAGATATTTCCTGCAAATTAGCAACAAAATAGCCATTTTCACTCCGAACCATTCTTTGGATTGACGTTGTTTCAGGTGTCATCAAGGATATAAAAGTTACAGTTCTGTCCTCCGGGCCACACACACACACACACACACACACGGGACTGTCTCAGCTGTTATTTTCGTTAAGGAGTGTGCACGTACAGCATGCGCGCCTCGTGCACGAGTCTACTATTGAAGATGCCGTTACGCTTTTGGCCTGAGGGGGCAATCACGAGCATAAAAATTCAAAACTCCGTAAAGTCCCTTTAAAGATTCTCATTCACAGTGTTAAGACTTTTGTATCTGAGGAGGGCGTGGCTTCCTGAGGGATGTTGGTAAATACTCAGAAACGTGTCAAATTCTGATTTGCCAAACTTGGCCAGAAATCATAACAAAGTAGTTTAATAAAACAAGATTTACTTCCCGATTAATTCAGTTTCCAGCTGAGCCCTGATTCGGCCAAATTGGGAAAGAAGCCTCTTTTGAAACAAACTCCTTTGACCTTAAGTCACAACCCTTCTGCGACGCTGCAAGTGATTACGGACACAACAGCTCTTCAGAGCTACTTCACACCTAATCTGCAGACCCCGGGTTGCATCTCATGGCCGGGGAAACCGAACTCAGAGGAAGCTACTAATCTCTGAGTGTTGTGGTTTCGACGTCTGGTGACCTCACCACTCTGACTGCAACCCTCCAGACCGCCGGGAGCAACTCATACCAGGGTATCGTAAGCCTGCATACTGGAGTCTGATGAGGTTCATAAATAAACAACTCTCTAGTTTATAACAAACAACAAATTCTTTTACACCCAGATTTCACCATTTGTCTCAGATACAAAGAACGGTTGCTACAACGTCTAGCTTCCATCACAACACCTCACATCCACCACATCCACCACATCACATCTCATTATTCATATCTTGTCATGTATCATTAGTTTAGGAAAAATAAATAAATTGATTTTATAAACTATATACTGACACTGTCTGAATTAATATGAAGTGTGTTTATGGTCCCTGAATAAGCAAAGAACCCGAGAGTCTTCTGATTAAACATTCAAAGATCAATCAGGTTGATATTTTATATTTGTGTGGAATATCACATCTTATTGATCATAATTAATATGTATTAATTGCTACATAGGCTTTTAAATGTTTGCATTACTACTATTGTAACACTAGCTTTATTGGATTGTCCCCTCTGTGGTTAGTTATTCGCGCTACCCTAGTTTTGTCCACCACTTTTGTAATGGCATTGTCTTGTATGTACAGCACTTTGGTCAGCCGCAACGCTTTAAAAGTACTTTGTAAATAAACTATGAATGGATGGAAAGGTCAAAAGAGTCGTACCTAATCTTCACTTTCAAGGTCATAAATTGTTTGCTTCCCACACGCAATTTGTTTACACGTTTTATTGTTTTTGCATCTATTTTCTAAGCGAAACATATAGAAATACATGAAAACAACACCCTTTTTCTGCTGTTTTACTTGTTACTGGTTTTTACAGGAATCCTCACATGTTGCTCCTCTAAATTTATTGCTTTATTAGAATTTCTCTGTCATATTTGTCTTCATTGGCCCTATCTGTTTTATGTTTTCTTTTATTTTTATTTTTTGGTCTAAATAACTGCTCACTGCACTCTTCTTCTCCCGTCCTTTTTCCATAGTTACGTTCATTTCTTCAAGTTAGGAAGTACAGTCTGGATCTGGCCACTCTCATCCTGTTTTCTTACCAGCTCAGCACAGCGCTGGCTTATCTGGAGAGCAAACGCTTCGTCCACAGGTACAGACTGTAAACATTCATATTATTAGGTAGTTGTAGGAGAAAGGTTGTTTAATAGTGGGTGACTTTGAGCTTGTGTTGCCATCTACTGAGAAAAAAGAAGCTCCTGAGAAATATTTCCAGTTTTTGTTTATGGAGTAAATATCAGTGTGTCTTCTGTTTTTCAGAGACATTGCTGCGAGAAACGTGCTGGTGTCTACGGTTGACTGCGTAAAGCTGGGAGACTTTGGATTATCTCGATACATGGAGGATAGCTCTTATTATAAAGGTAACAGAAACTTCTCACGCTGTGTGAACACATCTCATCAGTCAGGTGTAACTGGTTGTTTTCTCTTTTCTAAGCATCCAAAGGGAAATTGCCAATTAAATGGATGGCTCCAGAATCCATCAACTTCAGACGATTTACCACAGCCAGCGATGTCTGGATGTTTGGTGAGTTTTAGTCTGCAGTTCTGTTCTTAATCCCAGCAGCAGATATGTGTTTGTCCCACTAAGATGCACTTCTCTGTTGCCCGTCCATTCAAAGGCGTCTGCATGTGGGAGATTCTGATGTTCGGCGTCAAGCCATTCCAGGGTGTGAAAAACAACGACGTTATCGGCCGGATAGAGAACGGCGAGCGATTGGCTATGCCCCCTCAGTGCCCTCCCACTCTCTACAGCTTGATGACAAAGTGTTGGTCGTATGATCCCAGCAAGAGGCCGCGCTTCAATGAGCTCAAAACACAACTCAGGTACTTAGTGTGTGTGTGTGTGTGTGCGTGCGCGTGTGTGTGCGTGTGTGTGTGTCCCTAAGTGGTTGGATTAGTCTGGATCAGAAAATGTTGTGAAGTATGCTTATCTCCTTCTGAAGGATGAAAATGTTAGATTTAGACCTCTTGGTGTCTTTTCTCTGTTCTGCTCTAATATTTTTTATGAAGAAAGTCGAACTGACATGTTTACAGGTGTCATTTATACACTATTTTTTAATTCAAATGACATTTTGTCCCCCTTGTAACTTATTCGTATCAATTTCTGCTCACTAAGTCAGAGATCCGTGTTGTCTTTCAAAAGCTGCCTGTCTTTATAGGTAAATGTGTACATTTGTGATCTCTGTGAAGTGCACTAGAGGCCTTTTTTCATACCAGTAGAAAGTAGACCGTAAATGTTCCAGGTGAAGTGTTTGTAAACCTCTTTCTAACAGCAGGTGTCACTCTCTCTGTTCTAACACACACAGCTAAACCCATCGTTTATATGGAGCTGTTTGATTCCAACTCTCACCTCTTCTTTCTTTTGGTAGATTATGTTTGCACAAATGTGACAAATAATATCAGTTCTTTAGATCTTTAAAACATTGTTTTGTTTTTTCCAGCTGTGGCCCAGATTGATGTGTTTGTTTTATTCAGTTCTGCTTTTGTTTAGATATCATTTCCCAGCTGTTCACAACTAAACTGGGCTCATGGAGAAAGATGAAGAAAAATAAACTTAAAAGATCAGTTAAAAAAACTTCTGCTAACAGATTTTTTTTCTGCATGGAACCACTTGGCAGAGGTGTACACTCGAGTCACATGACTTGGACTCAAGTCATTATTTTATTAACTTCTGACTTGACTTGATAAAATCTGTAAAGATTACGACTTGACTCGGACTTGAACGCCAATGACTTGCAACTTGAATCGACTTGCATCTGTTGACTTGATGATGACTTGAGCATATTTGATATTTTAGCACAAAAGTGCAACAAGCTCAGCTCAGAATAAGAAACGGAGACTGATGACTTGAAAATTCAAAGTTAAGGACTTGAACTTGACTTGGACTTCCACGTCATTGACTTTGGACTCGACTTGAACTTGGTAGTCTTCGACTTGGGCTTGACTTGAGATTTGAATGGAAAGACTTGTGACTTACGTGTGACTTGCAAAGCAGTGACTTGGTCACACCTCTGCCACTTGGTGTCATAAGTCACTTCCAGTTCGCCCCAATAGCACCTAAGTGCTGGTCGCCATCCAAATCATCACCTTGGCCATTTTTCAGGCTTAATAAAGGTTTGTTAACATTTCTTTCTTTTTGTTTCCTCATCAAAGAGTTTCCATCAAAAACACACCTGCTGTTCCTTAGATTCAGACCTTCACTCCCACAAACCAGACAGAACATGTATCTGAAATCACTGATTTCACAGAGGATTTCCTCACTGGATTCCTAGTTTGTGGTTGTGAGGATGCATTTTATCACCAAGCTGTTTTGCTTAATGAGATAGTGGTTGGTGTGGTAATGGAGCTGTGGGCAGATTAAATGCAAAACCTTTTTGTGCTTCAACTCTCCGGTGACTGACACATCACTGTCCTGTTGGTAGGTTTATCAGAAACCAGATATCTGTTACGACAGAGCGCTCGTACACTAGAGGCGCTGAGGTCCAGTCTGGGCAAAGCTTTTCTCAGCTATCTTCACTCATCAAGTCATAACTGAGACATGAAAAGACTTGATGGTTTTTGGAAATGTTGATTTTAGTCTTCGTAAATGAAACGTGAGCACTGGGAACAGCTGGTCTGAAAAACAGAGATACCCAGACTTGGTTACGGCAAATCTAAATAAAGCAGATCATCACAGATGAATCTACAAATAGTTGTTTGTTTTTAACGGGATTTCTCCCTAAAACAAGTTGCTTACTTCAGCCATTGTTGTCCAAATATCTTCACCTTTATTAAAGTTAATTACACTAATACAAAAAAGTCAAGTCAATTCTGAACTTCACGTTTAATCAGATTCATCCAAAATTGTTTGTTTTAAGGTTGCTTTATGCTTGACGCGTCCGCACGGCTCCGCGCGGCGAAATTGCGTCATTTTAACAACCGCGCCTCTGCACGGCCCAAAATTTCCGCAACGCGCACCTAGAAAATTTTCTAACCACGCGGACGGTCGGACGTGGAAAAACATGGTGGTCCAGCAAGAACTAGTTTGGCAGAGGTTCATATATACAGACATTTGTATGATTCAGCTCTCAGAGATCACCGTGATCAACATGTAGTTAATAATTCTTGGAGAGAAATAGCTCGCACTGTCGGAAAAGACGAGGACGCTGTTAAAAACTGCTGGAATGCCATGTTGTAAACAGTAATTTCTACTTCTACTATGGTGTAGTGTTGGATGCATGCCGTAGAGCTCCATGCTGCCCCCTACGGTTTGGGAGAATACTGGCTCACCGCAGAGACAAGCCGCATGAACCCTAAACGCTGCAAGTTGTGAAGCGAGTTTCAGCCGTGAGCCGCATCACCAAGCGGAAAGTGAATGCGTCAAGCATAAACAAAGCTTTATAAGCTTCAAGTATTGTAACAAGCAGGATACACACACAGGGCCGTGAGTCTCTTTCCGGAGTATTTCTATTTAATCATATGACTCAGTATAAGGACTTAATTATACTAACCAAACAACAGTATTACTCCTGTCTAATCATCTCCAATCGAGGCAACACTAAGTCATTGTACTCCATTATCAATAAAATTCACTGGCCATCCGATACTCTGCCCCCACACATGTGCTCTACTGCTGCTTGTAATGCCCTTCTTCTGTTTTTCAACGAAAAAGTAATAAACATTCACCATGCAATCAACCAAAGCATCCCCCCTATCTCCCCATATGATCCTCCCGAACCAACACAGTTATTTTCCATTTTCCAACTTCCCAGTGATTCTGAGATATCAGATATTATCCACAAGTCAAAGCCTTCTACCTGCCTTCTCGACCCCCTTCCCACGGCCTTGGTTAAATCCTGCCTCCCCTCCCTGCTCCCTCTCGTCTCCGCTCTCACACACGCATCCCTTTCCTCCGGTATTGTTCCTTCTATCTTCAAAACTGCTGCAGTTACTCCAATACTTAAAAAACCTGGTTCGGATCCTAACATTTTTACTAATCTCCGCCCCATCTCCATCCTTCCCTTTGTCTCCAAAGTTTTAGAAAAAATAGTCGCTACCCAGCTCCACACCCATCTGACACTAAACTCCTTCAATGAACCCTTCCAGTCCGGTTTCCGCCCACTTCACAGCACAGAAACGGCCCTCCTCAAAATAACTAACGATCTCCTCATTGCTGCTGATTCCGGTCTACTATCCATCCTGGTCCTCTTTGATTTGAGTGAGGCCTTTGACACAATATCTCATTCCATTCTCCTCCATAGGTTATCTTCCATCGGCATTGCTAACATCCCACTTCAGTGGTTCCAGTCCTACCTATCAGGTCGCACTCAGTTCATTACTATCAAATCCTCCCGCTCACAGCCCTCTTCTGTTTCTTCTGGTGTGCTCCAGGGCTCTGTCCTGGGGCCCCTCCTTTTCATTAAATACATCCTTCCCCTAGGCAATATCTTCCGCAGATTCAATATTAATTTTCACTGCTTCGTGGATGACACCCAGCTCTATTTGTCCAGTAAGCCAAATTCTGCACTTCCTCCCTCCTCCCTCATCACCTGCCTTCAAGAAATTAAATCCTGGTTCAGTTCGAACTTCCTGAAATTAAATAAAGACAAAACAGAACTTCTTTTGTTTGGTACCAAGAACACCCTCTCAAAATTTGACAGTTTCTCTCTCACAGTTGATAATACTTCAGTTTCCCCCTCTCCCCAGGTCAAGAGTCTGGGTGTCATCCTAGACAGCACACTATCCTTCCAATCTCATATCAATAGCATCACACGGTCAGCTTATTTCCATCTTCGTCACTTTAATTGTCTTCGCCCCTCCCTTGATGTCCACTCTACTTCTATTCTTGTCCATAGTCTGGTTACATCACGTATCGATTATTGCATCTCTCTTCTCTCAGGCCTCCCTCAGAAAAACCCTCCGTAAGCTCCAGTTGGTTCAGAATGCAGCAGCACGCATCATTACTAAAACTCCCATCTCTCATCACATCACCCCCATCCTCAAACAACTCCATTGGCTACCAGTGCACACCAGGATTAACTACAAGATTCTCCTTCTCACCTTCAAGGCCATCCATAACCTCGCCCCTCACTACCTCACAGATCTTGTTCACATCGTCACCTCGTCCCGTTCCCTCAGGTCCTCCTCCTCCATTCATCTCTCTGTGCCCTCCTTTTGTCTCAGCACCATGGGGAGTAGAGCCTTCAGCTGCACCGCTCCCAAACTCCGGAACTCCCTTCCCCGTCTCTTCGAGAACATTAACTCATTCACAGAATTCAAAAAACAACTCAAAACTCACCTCTTCATAACCCCATATCAGCTTTGAATTTTAGAGTGCCTTGTTTGTTCATGTTTACGTATGTTTACTTACTGAATGATTTGTGTTTTTATTCTGTACAGTGTCCTTGAGTGACCAGAAAGGCGCTTTTAAATAAAATGTATTATTATTATTATTATTTTTTTTATTCTCTTATCCGATGGCACCAACTAGTGGCTGACAAGCATATGACACAAATAGTCTCTGCAACCCTTTTTTAAGGTGGCGACTTCACATGTTTTGTTTATAAATGTCCTGTAGCCGACAAACAGCTAAAACATGTTTTACAAGTATGGTTCTCATGTCATGCTGTGTTTTCATATATTTACCTTTTAGAGACTTACTTGTCCATGAAAAGTTCATCTGCATCAGCTGAGGTGTTCCTTAAATTTGAAGCATGTAAACAGTCTAACATTATTGGTTAGTTCTGGTCGACACTCGGTTTCCTATTGCACAGGAGCGCTGTAGGGCAGGGGGCGTGCTTAGCAAAAAAAAAACATTTAGCTTTTTTCTCTGTGATTTAAACATTTAGTGAAAAGTGATATTTTACACTAAAATCTCATTATGAAACACACACGGCTGCAGCCTCAGCACGGTGCCGTCGTAGTTTCCCTCTGCAGGCACATTTTCTCGTTACTAAAGCAGAAACAGGAAAATAAGAGTGCGTATTTAACTCCTGCGGTTTTTATGAGTTTTTAAAGAGCAGAATGACTCACACCTGAAATTCCACCTCCAAGTAGTGCAAATTCTTCATTTCTCCTTTTTTTAACACTACCTTTTCCCTCCTGTCCTGTCCCGGCCTCTCAAGCCTTTTATCAGTCTCCTTTTGTTAACGGGTTTGAATCTAAAACGAGCCACAGGGCTTCGGCATCCTGTTTTACCTGTTCGACGCATGTTTGAAGTTTACCCCGCGTTGACAAAATTAAGAACATTCATTCAAATTGAAAATCACAGCTCAACATAGCCGAAGGCTAACCAATTCTTGGTGTTCCCTGGATACAGAGTCAACATTGACCGTGCTCATTCTGGGTGCTGGCTGTTCTTAGGAGAAACTTGTGCCGTATAAGGTTATAAAGTCTGAATTAGCTTTGGTCTGACTCGCTCTTGTATCATCATATCGATTATAGGCCTCTCAGGCCAAATATGCAGCTTTAACTCCTACTGCAGTCTTCCTAAAGGGTGTTGCATGGCGGGCAGCTGACAGCAGCTACAACCTTCCAAAGAGCAGAAATGGAGAGTATGAAAGAGAGAAGGAATAATCCCACCTCTAATGTAGCTCATAGGAGAAGTGTGATGCTGAGATTTTCTCCTGATGGAGATGTGTGTTTGAAGAACGACTGACGCCTGCAGTTTGATGGAGTTTCAGCTTCAGCAGAGCATAGTTTCATCACCCAGGAGCTCAAGTCTTTATCCGTTTAGTACGGTTTGCTGTTATTGGTGTAGACGACTCTGTGTGGTGCGTCAGCGCCGACCGCAGCTGGCTGATCATCAGCCTACTGGATGTTTGGTTTTCCTTCAAGGCTCTGAGAGGATACTCTCTGGTGCGATTGGTGTTGTCTGAGGTAAAGGTTTTTCTTGTCTCAGATTTTCTAAATGTTTCTTTTACTTTGTTTCTCTGTGTAATTAGTATTAAATGGTGTCCAGATGCTGAGTCATGCGAGTTAGACACCTCAGCAGTGCTGTTTTTTATTACTAACAAACCCGCATTCACAATCGACACGCCGAGCCTGAATGTCGAGAACTTCATTTAGTTTTAGGATCGACTAAAAAATGTATTTTAGATCTATTATGTAAATATTTTTTTGCATTGTGGTAATCATTTTTTGTGTCTTTAATATAAAATACCTTATTTAAATGTAGCGCCTGTGTTGACCATGATGATTAGTTCAAGCAGAAGATGTTTTTTTCTGGACTAAGATATCCATTAGTTCTGTTTAATAATCTGAAACCTCTCCATTTCTGCAAAACCCATCATTTGATTTTTGGCTTTTCATGTTTCCATAAAAACTTTCTAACAATGTAGCAAATTTGCTGAAGAGTGATTGTTTCAAACTCATTTAAACATTTTACGGGAACTGTCCCACTATTCAAGATTATTCTTTCTTTTTGGGGGGAAAAATTTAACAATTTTTAATATTTTTGCTGCACTTTTGATGAGCCGTGTTACATTCTGACCTCTAGCATAGCAACATCCCTGCTCGGGTCCAGGGGCGCCTCCAGAAAATTTTGATGGGGTGGCCAGGCGGGGCCAAAGACATTTTTGGGGTGGCACATGTCATTGTATTGCATTGCTCCTTTATTTGTTTTTATTTAAAACAACTGAATGTATCCAAACATGTATCTAAAATTTTACAAACAAACATTTCAGAAAATACATTTCAGTTGTTTTATAATTTATTTAAAATTTTATGTATTTTTTTAGTTTAATTCACCTTTTGCCGTGTTCACAAAAAAACTATGGAGATCAAAACTTTTTTAAATGGAGCAGCAGAAACGTATGTATTTTCTTTTTATTCTGATTATTTCTTTACTCATTAGTTGTATTATTTTTTGTTTTGTTTTACAATTATGTCTTGAATAAGTAAGATCAATTTATGGTTTGAATGAACATTAATATGATTTCTTAACACTGTCTTTTGTTGGGGGGCAGCAACTTTCTAGGGGTGGCCAGGGGTGGCCATGGCCACCCCTGGCCACCCCTTGCGGGCACCCTTGCTCGGGTCATCTAAAGGTATTTTGCTGCTGTTATTGATGTTGGTGAGGTGTGAGATGAATGAACAGATACTGAATCTTTAGGATTTCTCAACACATTTGCAGAAAAACATAAAACTGTTCAGTCAGTCCAGCCTGAGTAAACAACTGTAGGACGTCTTGTTATTCCAGGTGCTGCAGTGGTAGCAAAGCTGGGGTAGGAAACTGTCTGTGGTGTGTGTGTGTGTGTGTGTGTGTGTGTGTGTGTGTGTGTGTGTGTGTGTGTGTGTGTGTGTGTGTGTGTGTGTGTGTGTGTGTGTGTGTGTGTGTGTGTGTGTGTGTGTGTGTGTTGCAGCTTCTATGTGCTGACAGTTTCATCATCACACGTTCATGCGTGATTAAATTTTACGACGTGGAGCCAGAGCGGCCGACTGGTTGAGTTTAATGAGCTGAGCTGGTCTAACTGCTGTCAGATTTTTGGGCCGAAAAGTGACTCAGCAGGGAAACAAAAACACACCTACGACCTGTAAGGACACATTATCTTTTTGACAAAAATATTATTTTTAATTGGAGAGTTCATAGATGAAAACAGCAGCAGTACTGTGTGTTGTGATGGAAGACGAGCTGCATCAGGAGACTGACTCGGACAGGTGGAGGGACACGCAAACACTCAGCAGGAGACAACAGAGCGAGCAGGGGGGCAGGATGGGACTAGAAATAGCTCTTAGCCTTGTTGAGTGTGCGTGCTGAATTGTTTGACGGCACACTTTTGTGTTTGTGGTCCCAGTAGCTCCCAGCGATCGACTTCTTCCTCTCAGAGTTTAATCTGCCTTAATCTGAAAACAGGTTAGTGTGACTGGTTTTTCCTTAAATGTAACTTTGGGACAAATGTTCTGGTTTGCGGGGTTTAATGTTGCGTAATTTCTCCGTGATTCAGTTGGTTCTTATAGAATGTAACCGAAAGATTTACTGTTTACCTGAATTTTTTACATATGTCGTATCGGATCCTGTCATTAAAGTGGAGGCAAACGCCAGTAGTTTGTAACAGTGCATCACAATAGACATCCTAGGACAGAGCGGGGGGGTTGTCTTTTATTTGCCTTCAGTGGTTTCTCTAATTGTAAGCAGCTCAGGGAATGTTATTGTGAGTTATTTAAGAGGAAAAACAGTCATATATTATCTTCTGGCCCCTGAGGAGGTCTGTTTGTGTAAAACTGTGTTCCCAACACTAATAAAACCATCGGAGAACAGTGTGTGCTTTTTAACAGGGTTCTAGTGACAGTTAAAAGAATGAGAAGATAAAACTTCCTGTCCAGGGAAATCTTGGGAAGTGAAACTGAGTATTTGTATGTTTTCACTGTAGCAAGTAAAACTACTTGATAAGGTTTGTTTCATAGTCGAAATTTGAAAGAAAGTAAAAGGAAGTCATAAAATCATAATTATTCATAACAAAACAAGTGAAGGAGCCTCGTGATTCCTGCTTTCATTCCACTTGGTCATTGTGGCCATTTTCCTGAAATATCACGGTTGTTCGTATTATGATGCTGAATCGATGCCCAAAAGCAGTGTGTCGGATTTTTATTGATAATTTACATGAAAACCTTTACTATATATATTTTGTGTGTGTGTGTGTGTGTGTGTGTGTGTGTGTGTGTGTGTGTGTGTGTGTGTGTGTGTGTGTGTGTGTGTGTGTGTGTGTGTGTGTGTGTGTGTGTGTGTGTGTTAGGATTCAATCGCCGTCTGTCAGGTGGCAGCAGTTCATTCTGATGAAATTAGATGTGATAATGTTGGAAAAGTCTGTCCTGAGTTTTCAGCTAAATTCTGTCTTAAAAATTACAAATGTTGTCTGACTTTTATTTTCACAATTTATCGACTGTCTCTCCTGTACTATGAGCGATGTCCTGTGGCTGATATCCTGTTTAGACCGTTTATTTATGTTTATAATCAGCCATTTTCTTTATTTGCAGCACGATACTGGAGGAGGAGAGACTCCAGCAGAAAGAGAGGAGCAGGATGGAGATGAGGAGACAGGTCACCGTCTCCTGGGACTCTGGAGGGTCTGATGAAGCGCCGCCGAAGGTGACACAATTACTCTCGTGTGTGTGTGTGTGTGCTATTTATTTATTTATTTTGCTTTTTTTCTGAACTTGAACCAGTTTGATTTCTCTGACAAACACATTTATTCCATAGTTTTTGGGTTCTAATTCACTAGAATACAGCAAAAGTCAAGCAGGTGGTATCAAATTTTGTTTCAGATTTTATGAAATAACTTTGTGCACAAAATGCTCCAAAACACTGATTAATTGACCCCCCTCCCACGTTGACTCCCTACTGTCTGTTTTCTGCATGTTTGTTACTAACGCCATCCATCCCTCCCTCCGTCCCTCTCTCTTTCCCTCCCTCTCTCTCTCTCTCTCTCTCTCTCTCTCTCTCTCTCTCTCAGACTCGTCTCATCTCTCCTCTCAGCTTGTTAATCCAGCTGCTCTCTGCTCCTCTCTGACTTACTGCCATCATTCCCCTGCTGTCAGCATCTGCTAACTGCTTCTTTTAGTTGCAGCTAAGGCCGTATATCTTCAAGACTAGGAGATGTGGTTTGGAGGTCTTAAAGTTCTGGAACAAAATCTGGTTTCTGTTATAGAGAAAAACGTCTAAAATTGGTGGATTTTATAACCAGGAGGAGTGCAAATGAAACAGTAACCTAATCGTGTTTCAGACTTTTTTCCTACTTGTCTTCAGGTACATTCCTGACCACAACACGTATTTTCTTTATGTGAAACCCTTTTTTTCTCCACATGCCCCTCCTCTGCTTGTGTTTTTCTGTCTACAGCCGAGCCGCCGTCCTTCCCTTCAGCCCACCTTCAGTCTGGATTGTGTTTCTGCTCCCTCTCCTCATCACTGCCTTCCAAACCAACGCTTTCCCTCACAGCTGCCCCTCTGCATTGGAAACTCTCATCCATCATCTCCCCACGCTCCTTCTCACCCACCCACGCCTCCTCTCTTCTCACTACCTCTGAATTTTCCTCCTGGCTTCTCCTCTGCCAGTCCTCAGCCTCACTCTGCAGCTCTTCAACACAGATCTCTGTCTCAGCAAAACATCCAGTTACATCTTGAATCCAACCCTTATTCCTCATTTTTGCTCCAGCCTCAGGGTAAAGGTGGCTTTTCACCTCACACATATTCACGCAGCTTGTCCACCGGCAGCTGTCCCCTCAAGACAAATGTCCCAAATGTCATGCTTGGTTCATCCCAGTTAAACAACACCGACTCTTGGCACTTCCCTCTGCTCTTTTCCCGGTCTGGACCAGACTTTGACCCCTCGCTCAGCAGCATGTCAAACATTTATCCTCCACAACATATCTGGTCCAAGTCAAATTGTAACCCTGAGACCCTGCTGTCCCCCAGCTTTCCCCCTGACCGCCAGACTAATCCATGTGCTCCAGCCCATCTTGACTTTGACCCTCATACCAAACCCCCTGCTGCGCATTCATACTGGAAGCCCCCACTTGATCCTACACACACACAAAAGGCCCTTGCAGTCCCATCGACCCGTTATCCATCCCTCAACACTCCTCAACCACTGCCCATCCGTCCTGCAGCTACCAATGTCCCGTTTGCCAGTCCCCACTCTCAAGGACCCCGGTCCAGACCTTTAGAGGCAGGTGGTGTGCTGATCTAATAACAAGGTCACATAAATAAAAATGCAGCCTTACTTCTTTTTGAGCCCATTTAAAAACATCCAACAGTTGAAGGTAAAACAAATAAGTAAATGTGTGTTTTACATTAAAGGTGTGGAACACTCGTTTCATCAATACATCAGTACAACGGCACGACTCTGCCACTGACTGTTTGTTCTGCAACGTTGATGTTTTATCTCCACAAACCGCATGAGCCTGGAGGAGTTCTGCTGTGCGGTGGAGTTGCTAATGCTAACGGTTAGCTTCTACCAGTAGAGGTGTTCTCTGCTTTTTCCTGGACACCAATACAACAACCTTCCCCATCGTGAGTCAAGATGGGTGAGTCCACAAATGTTAACTCATTCACTGCCGGCCGTTTCCTGATCAGAAAAGTCCTTCGCTGCCAGCGTTTTTCAGCGTTTTCACAATTTTTTCAAGAGTCACAGAACGTTGCGCACTAGGATGATGTCAACGCCAAAACTACCAAAAAAAGCAGAGACTCACTTCTTACATCAGGAAGAATCTGCGCGTTTTGAGCGTTATCCGTTCTTTCATAATCCCTTCTTGAATTGTGATCGGCAGAAGCTTTTCCGGTTTGGCCTCACTTTTTTTTGCAGCAGCGGCACAAAACGATCTCCTAACACATGGATTTTCTGCTTCCTGATCACGTGACGTGTGACGTATGCGGATGAAGATCGGCTTTAGAGCTGAGATGTTTGTTCTCACGGTGCGGGGGCTCGTTCCGATGCCCACACAGTAAAAAAAATGCAAATGTCGACTTTAGTCATCAATGGCAGTGAATGGGTTAAGTGACAGTGTGACGTCTATTTTCTATCAGAAGCAAATGCAGGAGAAAGGTGTAGGAGACATGTTCAGCCTGCATGAAAAACTCAACAGTGACCAGTTATAATTAGAAATCATCTTTAAAAAGTTCCACACCTTTAAACGTGTTTTTTCTTCAATCACATAAAAGTTTTTACATAAAAAAGCAACTTTCTTAGAAAAAAGCATTAGCATTGATTCTAATGAAAATAAAACTATTTCAACGGAGATAATGGGATACATGAAGTGTAATGGGATTTATTTATTAATACTCATATCAGTACTTGGTATCTGCAAGTACTCAAAAGTAAGTACTTGTAATTGGTTTAAACTATCTGGTATTGATGTGTAAAATAATATAAACCAGTTTTATACCAATTCTCAAAAAGAAGAAACGTTGCAGCAATGCTTTTGCTAAACTACTAATATTTTATAGATTTAATATAATAATATAATTTTGCCCAATCAGCATGTTTTCCTTTTATCTGGTTGCATGTTTTATTGAACATGTTCCCAGCCCCAACCCTGTGTCTGAATGTGGATGCTCAAGTTCCTTGGATTATTGCATCCTATTTCTGTCCTGTTGGAGATGCCTGCAGTAAATCCTAAATCCACAGAGCTAACAGTGTGACTCTTGTAGTACACATGAAAGACTCCAGCAGTACACAGTTGGCTTTAAAAAGCAAAAAAATAAACCATTAGCATTGGTTTAGAGGGATGCTATGCAACTGTTTATTTTTAAATCGCTTTCTTGAGCCAGTATGGGCTGAAATTACCCTTTAAATGGTTTTCAAAATGTGACTGAGACTGTGACCCCCTACCACCAGAATACAGCACTTGCAACTTCAGACTGGCAGTCCGCCACCTGTGGACTTGGAGCCAACATACCTGACACTGCAGTCTGCTGCCAGCATGTTTTCTGCATGTTTTAGATCATGAACACAGCTGATTTGTTTGATTCTATGATGAATCACTCCTGTAGACACTAATGAGGGCTGGGGAGACATTTAAGCAGATAAGCCCCTACCACACACACAAAATGGTGGTGTTGCTGGGCATTTTTCTCAGTTTTTTTTGGCTTTTTGTCAGACTCCAAGACTGGGAATGGGGGGGGGTGTCTTTACATTTGACAAAAATAGCATGAGGTGATCAGTAACAATGTGAAGTGATCTGATATTACAACCAGACTGCTGTGTGTCCTAGCACTGCTGAAGCTTATGGGCCATTCCCATCTGTACCGGGTCGGCCCGGGCCGGGTAGCGTAGGTTGTTTACATATCTGGGTGGCCTGGTATTTTTCCGGGCCAACCAAGGCTCATTCTCAGCCCTCTTCTTGAGGGGGTCTGCTTCAGGCCGACCAGGGCCAACACACCCACTGCTGACAGCAAATTCACACCTTCCATTAGAGCAAGCCTCTGATTGGTGGGTAGAATCAGCCCACATGGGCTTAAGACAAGGATGTGTGGAATCAACCGGGCCAGGCTGGGGCCGACTGGGGCTACCCGGCCCGGGCCGACCTGGTACAGATGGGAATGGCCCATTAGTGAGAGAGAAACAGACATGGTGTGTGTGTGTGTGTGTGTGTGTGTGTGTGTGTGTGTGTGTGTGTGCGTGTGCGTGTGTGTGTGTGTGTGGGCTTGTATTTCTACCATTGTGAAGACCTGATTTGAGATATTTACTAACCTTCTTACAATCGATGGTCCTTGTTAGGACCAAAACCCGGTCCTAATACGGAGTACTCCCTAGGGGTGAGGTTTACAGATAAGATGTGAATTACGTTTTTGTTACAGATAACTTTAGCAATACACTGGTTAGGGTTAGGGTAAGGGTTTGGGTTAGGCATAGTGGGCTCTCTAAAATGAATGTAAGTCAATACAGTCCTATCATGGGTACAAATAAAAGATTGTGTGTGTGTGTGTGTGTGTGTGTGTGTGTGTGTGTGTGTGTGTGTGTGTGTGTGTGTGTGTGTGTGTGTGTGTGTGTGTGCGCGCGTGAGCGTGTGTGTGTGTGTGTGTGTGTGTGTGTGTGTGTGTGTGTGTGTGTGTGTGTGTGTGTGTGTGTGCGTGCGTGTGTGTGTGTGTGTGGTGAAAGGAAACTTTAATTGTTATGCGCTACACAACGGTCCTTAAAGGTTTGTGTGGAGTTGTGTAACCTGAACAGGCACGTATTTTACAACGTTAGGTTGTTTAAAAAAGCTTTTCTACTTACTATCTATTAAATTGTAACATTTATAACTCACACCACCCACATGTCACTACAGAGATTCATGCTTCAAAACCACAAATGAGATTTATTTGACCTTTTCTCTAGTTTTGTTTTCCCTGAATCATAAAAAATGAATTATTTTCTTTCCACCTGGTATGACGTTAAATACGTTTGAAACAAATGGAAAGTTTCTGTAAAAGCAGCACTTAACAATATCTGATCACATCATACACCTGTAGGACATAAACATTCTTTGTTTTTGCTTGACGTAGTATTTTATACATTTCAGCCCTCGTGTTCTCAAGTAAAACAGGAAAGAGATCACATTTCTGTCTGACGGGACAATTTAATTATACGTTTTTATAAAGGAGGTAAGAATTAGCACTTTGACAGCGGGTTTATGTATCTGTGGACATATTTGCACTAAAGTATTTCTACTTTCTTCCACAAATATTTTTTATTTTTTAGATTGTTTCCACATTTTCATATTTTTCTACATGATCTACATTTGTTTCATACATAAACGGGGCCTTGAATAACCAACTGGGGAGTTTCCTTTAACATAAATTTGCACGCTTAAGATCTAATCTATTCTGATTTCATCCATCCATTTTCTGTAACCCGCTTGTCCACGCAGGGTCGCGGGGGGCTGGTGCCTATCTCCAGCGGTCAACGGGCAATCAGGCGGGGTACACCCTGGACAGAGAGCCAGTCCATCGCAGGGCAACGCAGAGACACACAGGACAAACAATCATGCACACACACACACACACACACACACACACACACACACACACCTAAGGACAATTTAGAAAGACCAATCAACCTAACAGTCATGTTTTTGGACTGTGGGAGGAAGCCGGAGTACCCGGAGAGAACCCACGCATGCACAGGGAGAACACGCAAACTCCATGCTGCAAGGCAACAGCTCTAACCACTGCACCACTGCGCAGCTATTCTGATTTCAGTAAACATTAAATCTTTGAGGAAGGGCACCAGCAAGCTCACAACCTAGCATTTTTTTCTGTTTGGTTTAAGGAGACAAAGCTCAACAGACACCTGTAAAGGCCACAGCCTGCAGGTTAGCGTAGTGTCACACGAGGCTAACGCTTGTTTTTCCGGCTAGGAGGCTCGTTCACGCTTCAGTGTTTATGATCTGTAGGGAGCGTTTGTTTAAAGCTTTCTGTCGATCACTTAAACTAAAATGTTGCAGAACCTTGATCCTATGAGCTCGTCTACAGTCATGTTTGTCTTTGTGTCTGAACTCTCAAAGCTGCTTTCTTTCATGTTCAGTTTTTTGTCTTGTCTGCTTCTCTTTGTTCCTCCCTACTTTGCTTTTCTTTTCCCCTTTCCTTGTCTCCTTCCATCCCTCCGTGTTTCCTTTACTTTCTGGTTCCTCCCTTCTGCGTGTCTTGGTGTCTGTCTTGCCGTCGGAGGTGTGGTCCAGAGAAAGCTTCTATGACAGACTGTGGAAGGTAGAACGTGCAACGTGGTTGTGCTAAAGTGAGCTCTGTGTTGCATCTTTTAGCCAACTCCTACATGGCTCCAAGAGGAGCAACTTTACATCAGCTTTGCCCAGCTTCATCTGAATCAGGCAGCAGGAGATTTAACACTGTGGGTTCACCAAGTACTTCTGTTTTTAGCGGACAGCAGAACATCCGACTCAGACCCGTCTCCGTTTGGACAATAAAGCCGACAGGAGTTTGTGTTGTAATTCATTAAAAGCTCATTTCCCACACAGACCCCTAACTCCCCCTCGTTTCACCCAGTCAGACGTATTACAGTCTGAAAAAAGAGGTTTTTGGTGAACAGTGTTTACACACCTGCATCACATCTAACCAGAGATCAACAATACAATCGCTCATGGGTGTTGGTGTTCTGGTTGAACTAACAGCCTGCTGGATTTGCAGCCCTGTGGGTGTTCCCTGTGATAAATGACAGCTAACCTGACCACACAAACAGCTCCTAGGGGTTTGTGTGTGTGTGGATTATTGTGTGTTTAATTCAGGAAATGGTGATCCAGCCTCTTTTCTCTATCCTCCATCTTCCTTGACCTTCTTTTTTGTTGTTTTTTCCTGTTTATAGCCAAGTAGACCGGGTTATCCCAGTCCCCGCTCCAGTGAGGGTTTCTACCCCAGTCCCCAGCATCCTGGACACTACCAGGTAACGTAAACACAATCCTCACACCCCTCAGCTGCAGGCGCAGAGCGAAACATTTAGACATCTGTGTTTTTTGTCCATTTTTGGTGTTTAGATGGCTGTGTATCCAGGGCCTCACACCCTTCCGTCTGTTCCCAGCGCCCTGTACCCTCCACCTGCTCCCATGGTGGACACACACCACGCACACACACACCCTCGTCATCACATCCACACACACTCACACACACAGCACCTCCCCCAGCCACATGGAGCAGACATGGCACTGTGGGGCTCTGCAGTGGAGGTAAGAGACACACACACACACAAAATTTCATCCACCTTAGTTTCAGTTCTGCATCCATCTGTCTTCATTTCATCTCTGTGCATTTTTTTCATGCACTTTCATTGTGTTTGTGTACATGGTTGTTGTGCTGTGCTTGTCTTTTGTTGCGTTTATGTGTGTGTGGGTGCGCGTGCGTGCGTAGGACAGGGCAGTAGACATGCAGCAGTGTGTAGGCCAGCAGTGCCTGTTAATGGAGGAGCAGCTGATGATACAACAGCAGCAGATGGAGGAGGATCAGAGGTGGCTGGAGCAGGAGGAAAGGCTGCTGGTAACATGCACAGCACACTTGGAGGACAACACAGAGCCTGGAACAGGACGCTTAGACAGGACATCTTTTATCTAACATCTTTGATTTAACACACCGCTCACCAATTGTACAATATTAGCGTCTTAAAGGTGGGGTTGGTGGTCTTTCTCTGCAGCATTCTTTACATAGCCATATAAGTTGAACTGCTGGTCACTTGTTCATGGCAACCAATAAAGTAAATGGTTTGTCAAAATAATGAATTTTAATTTCCTGAAACGTACAATCCTGACAAAACCTCATCCAATCATTTTGAACCTCCCCTTCTTAAAGATTGGATTCTGATTATCAGCCAGGCTGCCCTCTGACCGCCTCTCGATCCTCTGTGAATGAATCACATGATCTCAGCTGTGAGCAGCTAAACAGGAAGCCGAGTCTGAGTGGGGCTAGCTATATTAGCTAGCATACTAAGTTGTGGTACAGTTTTGTAGCTCGCGCAGAAGTAGTGGGGGGGCTTGCCAGTGTAGTTCGTCCAGTTCTCCCACTGGATCTCCGATCCAGGTCTCACTGGTGTCTGTCTCCTAAGCTTTAAGTGGGGAGAGCTTTAAGTCCAGAGAACTTCTGACCGTCAGAAACAACCGCAACTGTTACGTGGGTGCGTTACGTACAAATTTACAGCAGGAAAGGTGCCATCAACAGGTCGAAAAAGATGATTCTATGTTTTTATGGTGGTTTGGACGGTACCTGTTGCATCCGGCATATTTTTGTGACTCACTTTGGGATTTATAAAAGAAAACTTAGCGGAAAAATGTGCGCAACTTTAAGTTGACTAAGGACCTGGCTTACACACATTTTGGACATGGAGAGCACCTGCAGTGCTGCTGCTGAGAAGGATACAATTATGAAATCCTGCAGCATTATCACTTATGGCAGTAAGTGGTCGTGGTGAGGGCGGGATGTGACTAAAAAGCAGCTGAGAACCTTTCTAGATAGTTTCTGATTTATGAAGAGGAGATTGTGTGCAGCTGTGCGTACTCCATGTTTGATAGATCACAAACCTACTTGGTGTTAGTACTTTTGTTTTGCTGAGCTTAAGTACGGTTTTAGTAAGGATTCTACACAATGTTTGATAAATGAGACCCCTGATCTGCCATTATGGATTTAGACCTTTTTAATTTATATTTAAAGAATCATCAGAAATTTTTATTTTTTCTCAATTTCTGATTAACCTGAAAATTTCAACTCTGAAGGTAAAAACTTTCACATAGAAGATCTTAAATTGTTAGTGTTATTTAGTGTTTAGCAAGGCTTTAAAGGTGGTTGACTGAAAATAAATTTTAATCATTATTTCTGATTATAATCAGTTTTCATGCAGACTGAACATGAAAATAGTCTCCTACACCTACCTCCTGCATTAGCGTCTGATAGAAAACAGACGGTGAAACTCTAGAGTTAGAAAATCCTGACAGATCTACGTCACACTGTCACTTAACATTCATGGATTCACCCATCTTGACTCACGACGGGGAAGGCTGTTGGTTTAGCGTCCAGGAAACGGCAGAGAACGTCTCAGCTAGCTAAAAGCTAACTAGAAGCTAACTGTTAGACTTAGCAACTCCCCCACAGAGCAGAACTCCTTCAGGCTTGAGTTATTTGTGGAGATGAAACATCAACGTTGGAATGTAAAAGGAGTCACTGGCCAGGCACACCAGGGCTTTTGGTACCCAGAGTACGACTTATAAGGCATTAATTCCCACTACATACCACTGCCAATGTAATAATTTAATGAGTCAGCCACACCTTTAAGCTTCAAATGAGATAAAAACTTTCATTTATCTGCACAAGAGCATAAAAAAACTAACTTTCAACATGATTTCTCTTTAATTTGATGTTGTGTGTGACATTCTCTCACAGATGTCTTGACTAATTGGTTCTTTTCTTGTGTTTTTATTTACATCAGTTTTAAGTTGCTTTGAGCATGATGTCATCCACGTTTTGTTGTGGCAGTGCATTAAAACGGTTCCGATTAATTCCTTCATCTATAAAAACAAATTACCGTTTCATTCTGTCACATGGTGTGTATCATTTTCATTGATGCCCCAAAAGTTTACTGAGAAAATATTAAATAACACAAGTAAATAGGAGAAATAAACAAACATACATCCTGACATTGACCCTTAGAGAGGCTCTAGAAGGTGAAAATGCCTTCAGATAAATAAAATATTTGATGTTGCCAGTTTAGAAATACTTTGATGTCATCATATTGGTTTAGAGCAGGGGTTTTCAAGCTGTGGCCCTGGAGCCACAAGGGGCCCTCTTCAGTAACTCTTAATAACGTTGGACAAAAGAATTTAAACATTAACTAAATCTTGTTTAGTGATCATAAAAAATGCCGGGTTTTCATGGAATAATTTAGTTTAATTTCACAACAGAGCAATGCTAAAGCACCAGTAACACGTTTAGAACTTTTTATCTCTCCATCCATTTTCAGCCGCTTATCCAGAGTCGGGTCAAGGGGGCAGAAGCCTAAGCCGAAACGCCCAGACTTTTCTCCCCCCAGCTACTTGGGCCAGCTCTTCCGGGGGAATTCTAAGGCATTCCCTGGCCAGCCGAGAGACATAGTCCGTCCAGCTTGTCCTGGGTCTTCCCTTGGGTCTCCTCCCAGTTGGACGTGCCCAGAAAACCTGACCAGGGAGGCATCCAGGAGGCATCCTGACCAGATGCCCGAGCCACCTGAACTGGCTCCTCTCGATGTGGAGGAGCAGCAAATCTACTCCTAGCCCCTCTCGGATGACCGAGCTTTTCGCCCTAAGGGAGAGTCCAGCCACCCTGTGGAGAAAACTCATTTCAGGCGCTTGTACCTGTGATCTCGTTCTTTCGGTCACTACCCAAAGCTCATGACCGTAGGTGAGGGTAGGAACGTAGATCGACCGGTAAATTGAGAACTTTGCTTTCCGGCTCTTCATCACGACAGATCGGTATAACGCCCACATCACAGCAGACGCAGCACCAATCCGCCTATCGATCTCATGCTCTATTTTCCCTCACTAGTGAACAAGACCTTGAGATACTTGTACTCCTCCGCTTGAGGCAGGACCTCATCCCTGACCTGGAGAAGGCATTTACCCTTTTCTGTTTTAAGACCGTGGTCTCGTAGAACCATTTATGTGTTTTTTGTCAAAAAGACAACAATTCTCTCATAATAGAGATTCACAGGAAAGGGAAAAAAGAATTTGGACTTTATTCTCAGACGTGTCGCGTTGCTCTCAGGATTCTGAGGAAAGAAAGACCTTGTAACAGCTCAACAGTTCTAAATAAGTGTAATTTAGGTGACCTGAGGGGTGAAAACAGCTCTTTTGTAAAGGTTGCAGACCCCTCCGCTCCTCACTGATGAAAGCTCATAATAATAAACCAAAGTACCTTTGGTCTCTTGGTGACTGGCATCTCTTCTCGAATCCTGCCCAATTCCACCCAAACATGATCTAATATCGTGAAAGCGTTTCCTCTGTTGCTTCTAACATCTGAAATCCAGTGGATGATGTCGCCCTCCTCTACATCCATCAGGTCTGCATCCATTACTGCACAAACCACTTACAGATTAAACTAAACATGCAAGTCTTTGGTCTGCGTGAGGAAACCAGAGGAAATCCATGCACGCAAAGGAAAAAACATTCAGAAAGGCTGCAGTCAGGATTCAAACCTGCAACCTCCAACAATGCCACCAGACTGGTTTACATGGAAGTGGCAGAGCTCACATTAAACAACTCCCTCATAAAATATCCCCCTTCAAATGTCAGAGTTTGGGTTTGATGGTGAGCTGATGCCTTTTTCACCCTCACACCTCCCAATGGAGTCTCCATATAGCATTGAGCTGGAACAAGAGCCTAGCTAGCTACAGCTAGCTCTGGTGTGCTTCAAAGTTATGTATCCCTGCTCATCGTGTTGTTTTGTGAGGGAGAACGAGCAATCTTATCCTTATTAGTTTGTAATGAAGGCTGATCAGTGCTTGCCTCTGCTGGTGAGAGACCAAAACAGGCTGGATGTTGTGCTTTAGATGGACGCGAACAGGAAGATGAGGCTGGCAGACGGGAGCAGGGTTTCATGTTTCATGCATTTTTCTGTGAGCGGGGATAGAGGTAGCTGGAGATTCTGCTGAAGGATTTTATTGTGTGTGTGCGTGTGTGTGTGTGTGTGTGTGAGTGTGAGTGAGAAGGAAGATGTGTCCTGTGCGAATTCCTGCTTTAATGATAGGCTTACAGACTCTGACAGCTCAGTCAACAGTCTGTCTTTGACCCATAACCACTAACCAACAACACACACCATTACTGAAAAGCTGAGTGTGTTTGTTGGAGCATGCTCGTGTGAAAGTGTTTGTTGGAGACTGGCTGGTTTTTATCACACGGTTACTTCAGTGAGAATGGGAGGAGAAAGAGGGGGTGAAAAAGAAAAGGTTTTTGGGAAAAAATGGTGTCCGTGCTGGCTTACTGACAGCTCGTTGGCGGCGTATCCCTCCTCCTCCTTCCCTCTCTCCATGTTTTGGAGTCTGATATAAGTGTGCTGCAGGCAGGAAGTTGGAGTTTCAATCAGGGGAGCAGAAAGCAAGAAAACGTTCAGACAGAGGCACACGGATTGTGTAAAATCTGAGGAGAGAGAGAGGCAAAACGCCTCAGACATCTCGGACACAAACGACTCTTCAGACAACTTTGATGACCCTTTGTGGCAATGCTGGTCTTCAAGTCCTGTCTTGGAAAACTGGTATGAGAGGATGGATGTGTGTGAGCAGTGTTACAGTAGTGTGTGTGTTTATTTTGGGCTTTAGATGCAGATGTTCAGCTGTGAAAGTCTAAATTCTCTTGTTTGCGTTTTTCAGTTGGAGAGTTTTGAGCTGTGCTGGGCTAATATTAGGCCATAACACGGGAACGAGCACGTTCCTGGATTAAACATGTTTTTTATTTTGCTAGTTAAGCCATGGGCAAAAAGCAGCGTGACTTTGCTGTAAAATCTAAATATTAAACTCAACCCGGACTCGTCCTGATGTTTGTGATTATCTTATGTTTAGAAACCAGACACGAGGAGCTCCAGAGGCAGCTTGGACAGAGACGAAGGTGGACTCCAGCCGGTGAGTCTTCGTTTTACAGCCGTTTCTTTTAAAACTCCACACTCTTCTGCTGGGGTTGACACACGCTTTCTGAATTTGCTGCTTTTCTTATTTTAAATGTTATTTTTGACAGGATAGTGTACATTTACATCCATGTGATTGTCTCTGCTGTTTGTGGGGACAGGAAGTAGCCTAACTGAAGGGGTGGGGTCAACGATGAAGGGTCAGTGTTTTCTCACAGTGTTGTTAGATATTATTAGAGGGCTTTAACCCACTTTATGCCTCCAGATTTCTTGTGAACCATATTTAAACATTTGAAAGGCATTATTAGATATGAAGAGTTGGGTCTTTCAAATATGACTTTACTTCATTTTTCTATGCTGTATCTTAAAACTTGGTGATTGCTGTGAACGAGGTTTGTGTGAAAATTAGTCTCAGTAATCTGTAGTTTAGCAGATATGTGACGTTTATTCAGAGAGGGAGAACCTGAAGTTGTTTTCTGTTCAGATGTTGTGTAGAGGCCAAACAACAGCTGCTAACAGTTTTCATGTTTTTGCTGTAAAAGGTAACCCCTGATGTTCTAGTCCTAGTGTTTTAAGATCGTGTATTTTTAGTGTGTGTGTGTTTGTGTGTGTGTGTGTGTGTGCGTGCGTGCGTGCGTGAGTGTGTGTGTGATTCCCCTGATGCCAGCAGCAGTTGTAGCAGTCTGAAGTTGCCACAGGCCAGATATTTCTGTCTCTGTAATTCATCTCTCTACTTGTCCTCCTCCTCCTCCCATTGAATGGTTGTGGTTTGTGTGTGTGTGTGTGTGTGTGTGTGTGTGTGTGTGTGTGTGTGTGTGTGTGTGTGTGTGTGTGTGTGTGTGTGTGTGTGTGTGTGTGTGTGTGTGTGTGTGTGTGTGTGTGTGTGTGTGTGTGTGAGAATCGCTGTAGCGCTGTATTTTTGGGTGTTGGTGATTGTCAGGCCACAACACTCTGATGGCACCAGGGTATTTGGGGACTTTGTTTTCTCATACTGAGAAAACAGCAAAGATGCAAAAACAGCAGAGTCGGTGTGTTTTTATCCCTCGGATCGAGTTTCAGTTAAAGTTTGTCTCTGAGTTGTTTAACTAAAAAAAAACATAGACTTTCAGCTAGGGATGTAAGAAAATATTGATATGGCGATATTTTTTCCTGCGGTATTATATTGATATTCAAAAGCCATGTATTAAATTTTTTGAAGAATTAACTTGCGAACCGTCGTATATTTTCTTTGGATTTGGTGCAACACAAACACCGACTGCTACCGTATTTTCCGGAGTATAAGTCGCTCCGGAGTATGAGTCGCACCAGCCATAAAATGTATAATGAAGAAGAAAAAAACATATATAAGTCGCATTTTGGGGGGAAATTTAATTATTTTTCTTACAAAATCTGAGACCAAGCATTTTACATTACAGGTCAAGTACCAATAACAATAACAGAATAAACAATCAGGGCGCAGCAGTGCGCCACGGTCTCCACCAGAGGATGGCGGTGTTTCAAACCCTCCCAGCGGGCGGGGAGAGCTCATTCCTGGGCTGGAGTCGGCCCACAGCACCCCACCACAGACTGCAGCAGGTGATGGGGGTGTTTGAAACCCTCCCAGCGGGACAGGGGAGCTCATTACTGGGTCTGAGCCACCCGGCCCACAGCAACTCGCCACAGGTTCCAGCAGGTGATGGTGGGGCAGAGGAGCTGAAACCTGGACCGGAGCCAGCCCGCAGCAGCGTGCCATGGTCTCCAGCAGGTGATGGCGAGGCAGAGGAGCTTATTCCTGGTCCAGAGCTGATCCACAGCAGCGTGGTATACATAATTTGGTATATAAGTCGCTCCAGAGTATAAGTCGCAGGACCAGCCAGACTATGAAAAAAAGTGCAACTTATAGTCCGGAAAATACAGTAGTTGCAGTGCAGTGTGCAGTGGGTTTTGTTTGTTTGTTTAAGGATATGAAGAGGACATCAATGCCATGACTGGATTTGTCACTGACCATATAAACTTCTGTGTGGACAACATCATACCCACCAGAACAGTGAGATGCTTCGCTAATAACAAACCCTGGATCACCAGTGAACTGAAGAATCTGCTAAATGAGAAACAAAGAGCCTTCAAGGAGGGAGATAGGGAATTATTGAGGAGTATACAGAAGCAACTGAAGATCAAGATCAGAGACAGCGAGGAAGCATACAGGAAGAAGCTGGAGAACAAACTACAGAGGAACAATATCAGAGATGTCTGGTCAGGGATGAAGAAGATCACGGGCTTCAAGCAGAGGAAGGATTGCACAGATGGCAGCCTAGACACAGCCAATGAACTGAACAAGTTCTTCAATAGGTTCAGTTCAGGAACAAAGCCAGCATCCTCCTCGCCTGTCCCCAGCCAATCAGACATCCCATCCTCCTCTGATCCAACATTTTCCTGTCACACACCAGCTCTTTTGTCCGCTAATGCAGTCATGGACTCTTCTTGTTCTATAAATCTGTCTTCAACCAAGTCAGGAGATGCTGCTGCCCCATTTACCTCCCCCTCCCACCTATCTGTCTCTAGAGGTCAAGTGAAGAGGCAGCTGGAGAGACTGAACAGGAACAAGGCTGCAGGTCCAGATGGTGTCAGCCCCAGAGTACTGAAGGCCTGTGCAGAGCAGCTCTCTCGCCCATCTGTCGGTGACGACTACAGACCGGTTGCCCTGACATCCCACATCATGAAGGTCCTGGAGAGACTCCTGTTGGTCCACCTGAATAAGCAAACTAGAACATATCAGGACCCGCTGCAGTTTGCTTATCGCCATGGAGTTGGAGTTGAAGATGCCATCATCCAGCTGCTTCAACCAACCCACTGTCATCTGGACAAAGCAGGCAGCACTGTCAGGGTCATGTTCTTTGATTTCTCCAGTGCATTTAACACAATCCAGCCTGATGTACTTTGCCAGAAACTCCAGAAGACACAGGTGGGGGCCTCAACTATCGCCTGGATTAAAGACTACCTGACAAACAGGCCACAGTTTGTGAGGCTGAAGAACTGCACATCAAACCAGGCGATCAGTAACATTGGAGCACCACAGGGGACTGTACTCTCACCATTCCTTTTCACCCTGTACACCTCAGACTTCCAGTACAAATCAGAGACCTGTCATCTACAGAAATACTCAGATGTCTCTGCAGTTGTCGGGTGTATCAGAGATGGACAGGAAGGTGAGTACAGAGAGCTAGTGGAGTGCTTTGCGGCATGGTGTGGAAACAATCATCTGACCTTGAACGTGAACAAAACAAAGGAGATGATTTTAGACTTCAGAAGAAACAGGGTGGAGTCAAACACTGTTTCCATCATGGGAGAAGAAGTGGAGGTGGTTGAGGAATACAAATACCTTGGAGTTCACCTGGACAACAGACTGGACTGGAGAAAGAACAGCGAAGCCATTTACAAGAAGGGGCACAGCAGACTGCACTTCTTGAGGACGCTTAGGTCCTTCAATGTCTGTAGCAAGATGCTGCAGATCTTCTACAAGTCTGTTGTTGAGAGTGTAATCTCTTCAGCCATCGTCTGTTGGGGTAGTAGCATCAGAAGCAGGGACCTGAAAAGGCTCAACAGCCTAATAAAAAAGGCTGGTTCTGTTCTGGGGACGACTGTGGAACCACTGGAGGAGATGAAGCAAAGAAGGATTCTCCAGAGAATCAAGAAAATGATGAACAACCCTGAGCATTCTCTTCACAAGACTGTCCGACAATGGAAGAGTGTCTTCAGTCAGAGGCTTCTTCAGTTCCGCTGCAACACTGACCGCTACTGGAGATCCTTCCTGCCAACAGCCATTGTAATATACAATAACTCTTTGATGACTTTATTATTATTATTATTCTGAGCTACTACAACAATCAATTTCCCTCTGGAATTAATAAAGTATTTTTGAATTGAATTGAATTGAAGTTTCCACCACTGAAATGTAAATTGCTCTGTTATGGTTCAGGTACCTCAGGTTAAACATGTTATCTATCAGTTTGGACTGCCTACTGAGTTTTCCTACAATAATTTCAGTCTAAAAAATCGTTAAAATCGTCTGGCTGAATGTGTCACAATATATCGTAACACATATCGTATTGTGTCCCCTGTATCATGATACGTATCGTATCGCCAGATTTTCACCACTGCACGTCTCTACTAACAGCAGACTAATAATGCTGGTCGCTATTCTCTTTGTCTGCTTTCGTTTCCATTCACACACATCAAACTCTGCGAAAGAGCTTTTTTTAGCACCCTGAGCTCGGAACGACTGGAAAAAGTTCATTTTGTTTTCAAATCTAAACAAAAGTCTTGAGGCCAACTCCACGACATGTAACTGTTCCATTTAGATTCTAACTTATTTGTTACTACGTTGGCACGTGTTTTAACTGTGTCACTTTCTCTTCTGTAACTCAGTGTGGTGCTTGCTGCTGCCGATCTTCACCGGGTCTCCCTAGAAAACTAAGTTTTTTATCTCAATGGGATTTTCTTCCTTGTTCAATAAAATTTTAAAAAAGAAGTGATGCAGACAGCTGGTGGTTTTTGCCTGTGAATTTCATGCGGAGTCTTTGATTAAATGCACTCAAAAATCCAATGTTTGTTTGTTTGTGCAGACAGGAAGCCAGCACATATACCAGCCCGTTGGTAAACCAGGTAATAAACACAACCGCACCATTCAGTCACACAACCACTATTGTTTCCTGCTCTTTTATAATCTTCTGCACTTTGTTGCCTCTCCATAGACTATAACTGACTGTAGCTCTAGTATTTCCTCTCCACATTCAGATTAAATACTGGAGAGTTCAGAAGTTTAAACCACCCCTTGTTTCTTTATAATTTGTTTAAAAAAAACTTTGAAATATTTTGATTTTATCAGGAGATCTCCAGGCTTTCTCAACATATTTTTAAAGTGGTGTTATTGTTTTAGACTTGAGGGTTAACCATTTAAAAACCAAAGATTCCTCTGAAAATGATCAGGATTGTAGTTCAAACCAGCAGAAGTGCTGGCCGCCGTTCCAAAGGTCTAGAATAATATGAATACGGAGCTTAAAAGGTTGTATTTAAAGTAGGGATGGACTATATATCGGCATTAATATCGGTATCGGCCGATGTTAGTCTTTTTTAAGCATATCGTATCGGTTCGATTAATAAAACCGGGTCGATATTAACAACCGATATTTTTGCCTGTTTCAGAGGGTGAGGTGGGGTGGTGTGTATTTGTTTATAGTCATGTGAACAGTGAGTGAAATCATCTCAGAACCGTAAATGTGTGTGTTGTGTGTACATAATAACATAATTTCAGCTTTAATAATTGTCATTCTATTAGAAGCATTAATGTCAGTATATCGGTATCGGCAAATATCGGTTATCTGTCATAACAGTGTTCTCAGCATCGAATATCGGTATCGGCCCAAAAGCTTCATATCGGTGCATCACTGATTTAAAGTTTGATATAGAAGCGATTCATTAAATAATGAGTGGTTGCTTTTAATTTACAGCATGATGACTTCATTCATATGAAGCAACTCTGTTTAAACACATCCAAGAGAACTGGATGTGTGTGCATGCTTGAGTAAGTTCTGACCAATTCCCTTTACTTTGGGCTTCTCAGATCATGTGGCTCCTCCGAAGAAGCCCCCCCGGCCTGGAGCCCAGAGCCAAGTGGGCAGTCTGGCTTGTCTGAACACAGCAGACAGCTACAACGATGGAGTCAAGGTAAATCTGCACATAAACTGTGTGAATAAATACACACAAGCCTTTACTAAAACATCCTCTCTTTAGTAGGAGCATGCCAAGTTCAGCCAGACACATAATGCATGTTTTGAAATGCTGACACAAAATATTTTCTTTTTTCTCCTTTGGCTGCTCTGCCTCTTCCTCCTCCTCCTCCTCCTCCTCCCTGTTGTTGACCCCTAGCCCTGGCGGGTAAGCAGCACACTGTCTTGAGTCAGCTCGTTAATTCCTCGGCTAACTAATTACATCAGTAATGTTAACGTTTAAAACCATCTTCCTGCTCAGAAGATGGTTTCATGTGTTTCTAATCTCCAACTAACGTTCAGTTCTGTCGTCATAAACTAATCCTAGTGGCTTGTTTGTTTAGCCAAACCTGTCGTCCCTCTTCGTTTTACAGGTTTCATTGACTTTTTTAGGGGTGTCTGTTAATATCGGTCTACCGATATTGGCCTTTAATTGTTTAATTGTAATATTGGGAAATATCTTTATTGGTTTTTACTCCTTTAGGAACCCAACTTTTACACACCATGCTCATATTATACATCAGCCCTTCGGCTTCATTTCCTCTCTCTGAAATGACGAAATATTGTAGATTTGAGGTTTAGTTTTTGAACTGTTTTAGTTTTATTTGGCACGACTTGTGAATAATTGGGAATTTGCCGTGCAGAAGATCTGCTGTCCTTAGAGCACGTAGCTATGTGTAGCTAGCAGCTAGCAAACAACTAACACAAGCACAAGAATCCTCACCCAAGGCTCGTGCTTAACTATCAGCCTAGCTTAGCATGTGTATGCTCACGCTGCTTACATTTGATCAACTCTGAAGTAATCATAGCAATCAGTGTTTTGTTCTGCAGAAAAAGGAGTTCAGCCTTGGAGCAGAAACCGAGAAGAAGAAGGGCTTTTGTTCATTAAAGGGACAGTTCAGATCTTTTGGAGAGGCATTTACTTTTGTTGCTGTTTGAATGGAATGACTGAAATGTTTTTGTTTTTACCTGAATCCTCACTTTAAAGTTAATCATGTACAAATGGTGTAACACTGCCGCCCAGTGGCCAGAAGGGAGAACTACACGCTGTCCTCTGCTCCTGGTTCTGGATGAAAACCCGTTTTGTTAAACTGACTGTTGGGAAGTTGGGACGATTTTAGTTTTGACTCATCAGATGTGCAGAAGGCCAGTTAGTTCATCTGTATATCTACATAATTCTGAGCAGGGTTTGTTATTTGTCATTTATACTTTCCACTGCACCTCTCCGGTGTCATCGAGCCCATCCTCTTTGTTTTCCTTTCCTCTCCTTGTTCAGCTGCAGCCTCAGGAGATTAGCCCTCCTCCCACGGCCAATCTGGACCGCTCAAACGACAAAGTGTACGAGAACGTGACCGGCCTGGTGAAGGCTGTGATTGAGATGTCGAGCAAGATTCAGCCAGCTCCTCCAGAGGAATACGTACCCATGGTGAAGGTGAGAAACGTCCTGGCCATGTCCCAGTAGAGTCTGAATCCGCTCGGATCCATCGGCCATGACGATAGCAGCACTCAGACGGTTCTGCTGACCGCGGTGGCAAACACTCTTGATTCAGGAACGCTGTGCTGATCTTTAAAGGTTAACATTTTTAGACTTCCTACTGAATAAATAATGATTCAGAAGCAGATCTGACATTTTAGGCTCACCAGGGACTAAAAGCTCCTCATCAGTCCTTTTAGTTGTTTTCTCTGTTTTGTTTCACTCTTACAAACTCAGCAGGATGGAAAGAAAAGGAAAACCAACTTTTATTTATATTTAGTGATTTTCACTCTTTATTTACATGTGTTCATCCTAATAAACACCTTGAACAGCTGATTGAAGCTGGCCACGCTAAACAGAAACAGGAAACTGTTGTGAGTCTGCAGCTGTCTGGCATCACTAACGTCTCTAGTTCGTTCACGATGCTGTTTTATTTTTCCACCGTGTCCTGATTTCACGTGTTTCCCAGGATGTGGGTCTGGCCCTGAGGACGTTACTCGCCACAGTGGATGAGACTCTACCTCAACTCCCAGCCAGCACACACAGAGAGGTAGACACACACACTCCACAGCGTTTTTACATCTTCTCTCCCGACTGATGTCGAAACTCTTCATCTCTAACAGATCGAGATGGCACAAAAGCTGTTGAACTCTGACCTGGCGGAGCTGATTGGGAAAATGAAGTTAGCCCAACAGTATGTGATGACGAGGTAGGCAGCAAGCGTGCGATGAGTTTCTGAAGACATCTCCCTGCTTCTAAACCCGTTGATGTCTTCTTCTCAGCCTCCAGCAGGACTACAAGAAGCAGATGCTGACAGCCGCTCATGCTCTCGCCGTCGATGCCAAGAACCTCTTGGATGTCATTGACCAATCGCGGCTGAAGATGATGGCCCACTCCCGCCCGCACTAGCCCCGCTCACCCCCCTTTATGAGAGCTATCTCCGAGGTGAACCGCGGCCGCTCTTGTCATTTTGCTCCCTGGGGAAGAACAACAGTCGTGCTTCAGGATGGGGTTAAATCATCAACCACTGTGACTTTCCTCGTACGAGAACCAATCAAAACCACGTCCTGGATCAGAGCGTGGGAGCGTCATTCCCTTGGGTCTGGACTGTAAAGACGAGAGGAGCAGCGACGACTGGAGATTTATTAGACTCAACACTGTCATGCTGACTGGACTGTGAATAATCTGAAAGGAATGTTTCTAGCGGAGGGAACGAGCTTCGGCCGACATCAGTCAGCTGTTTTAATTCTCAGTGGAGTCATGAACCTTTTCTGTTCTGGACGGAGGTTTCAACTTGACGGATTTCAGTGAAGGCATCACGGATTTGCTCTGGAAGAGTCTTCTGCGTTGTTTTCTCGGTCTCACCAGCTTTTATTTATAGAGGAGACAGAGGGAGGAGCAGGAGTCCACACTGTCCCCGTCCTCTTCCTGCTCACTGGTCTCTTCCTGCAGTCTTCCTCTGCTCCTCAGAGCAGGTTTTAAAGACTCTAAATGTGAAGAATCCAAATCTTTCCTACTTCCTGTTTAATTTTGGCTGGCTCCATGTCTTTGTGTTGTTTTTATCGGTGACATTCTTCTTCCTCTGTACGGAAAACTGTAACTTGAACACAAGCAGACGGTCAATCCCAGCAGCTAAGAGAAAAGTTTGATTTTAAAATATTAACATAAAGACAACAACGTGTCCTCTGGTTGGTCCGAGATGTTGCTCCTAAAAGACTGGTGTCCCACTTTGAAGTGTCTAGTCACTCGACCGGGGCACAAAAAAGAAAATCTTGTGTATTCTCGGGACAAAAACAAACCTCGCCTCAGAAACGTTGTGCTCCTGTTAGGTGTAACACTTTAGAAATGTCCCACCTAGCAACCGTCTAGAGGTGAACAAACACACTTGAAATGTGGATCGACACGACTGGAACTCGTTCTGCAGATCTGAAATCAGGTCCCAGATGTTTTTGTCGACACTGAGCCCACCTGGAGTACGACTGACGGCTACGTAGACCGTACTGGTGACTATACTGGCACAGCATGATTTACTGGTATGGAAAAGAGCATATTTGCACAGCACCAAAAAAAACCAACCTAATCCAGTTTTACCCAGAATATTTTAGTTTTTAACCAGTGATGACGAGATGGGAAATCTGGGTCCGATTGGGTTAAACTATTTAAAAACACGTAAACAAAACAATCTATTTTATCTCGGCGTTGTTGTTGTGTAAATCTGCTCATGTTGGTATATTGTAAGCGATACTGGTGTGTCTCACTGGTGAGGTGTACAGAACTAGTAAACACTGGTTTTTATCTTGTCTTCTCGGCCGAATCTGCCACCGTGTTAAATAGGAGGAAAGAACCGGTGAAATAAAATAACGATGAGAGGAAAATGAGACGCTTTTGGTCAGTTTCATTCATTTTTAAAAACTATTGACTTCATGCTTTTGTTCTTCACTTTAAAGAGTGTAAAAGTGATTTTATCACAAACAGCTTATAAACTATAAAAGTATCAGGACATAGTTGTTTACAGGAGTCTTACAGAGTCAGAGTATTTACACGATGCTTTATAAACACGATAGAGGAGGACCTCAGAGCGCCAGCAGCAGTGAAACACCCGCGGCGAGCAGCATGGCGGTGTGTGTGAACAGAGCCGGCGCCGCTGTAGTTACAGTAGTCGTAGCCGCCACAGCAGCTCACGCTGTTTCCGTTTGCATCGACGAAGGCTGTGGAGGCGGTCCCGTTGCACGCAGTGCTGCTGGCATGCTGCTTCACGATGGCCGTCACCGGACCTGAACATCACACAAAGAGGGAACTTTAGAGATTTGCACTGAAAATGTGGAAGGCTGCTGATGGTGCAGCTCCTCTCTGTGGCGGGTGGAGGGTACTGCAACTTAACAGTAACTTTACACTGAGGTACTTTCACTGGGCTGCCGACTTATTGAGATAACCTGAGTGAATGAAAAGGCAGTTTTCAGATGATGGTTTCATTCATTAACAAAAAAGAAGCTATTCAGACCGACCTGGCCCTGTGTTGTATCAGTAATTAACTAACACTATCATTACGCTACATGTAGTTAGCCTAACCAAACCCACACCTGATTGCTACCAGACCTGGAGAAGTAAGAAATCACTTCAACAGAACCTGTCTGACAGCACAAAGTTGGCTACAAGATCTCAAAAAGCATCTCATCATGCCACGTTCTAAAGAACCCAGAACATCTAAAGCTCTGTGGGTCTCACCTGGTTGCTCTAGGACGCCTCTGGAACTCCATAAGAGGCTTGGGGCAGAAACGTCTTCCGCAATCTCACGACTAAAACCTCCGCTGCCTTAAAAAATAACATCTCACATTCACTAAATAACTCCTAATGAAGACTTAGGGGGAATGTTTTGTGTCAGCATTTGTAAAAGCGAGTTTTTAGCACGGCTCTTGTCGTCGGCATTGGCCTCATCTAAAAGTTCTAGGTCTGGAACAGCTGTCGTGATCTCAACTTTAGAGTTGTATAATTCAACAGCAACTATTAATAATCCAGCCCAATGTGTCACCATCAACTCATTTTAATCCAAATGAAAGCTCTATTGTTCAAAGCTGGACCATAATCCGCAGCAGCCGGTTACCCAAAGCGTCAACGATGGTCATGCAGGTGTCGAGTGGCTGCTGGCACTCCTGGTTGTTCTGGTTACACGCTGCGTTGGTGGAGGAGAAGCTGCACACGTAGGACTTCAGTGGGATTACTGCACAGGAGCACGTTTAAAGCTGGATTACACATCACACGATGAAAGCGGCACAAACGTTAATGAGGGTGGCGTTCCTGGAGGTTTTTCAGGTGGTTTCACGTTGACGTTCATGTCGAGATGGTTTATAGTCGTACATGGCTGACAGGTGACTACCAAAAGAAATAAAAGAGACATGCAACGCCTTCAAACAAGCACACGTATCTCTAAAGATCCAACTTTTGTAGTCAAACTAGTCTCAGCTGGTGTCAGCCTCTTAAGGAGACGTTTCCTGCTTTAGAAAATGAGATTTAATCTTGGAGGGAAAATAATCCCTGAGAACAGAATCTGTTCGACCAGACTGAGTCCTAATTTAAGTCAACAGAAGTTTAGAACAGGATGCTCATTTGATGTTTCAACAGAACCGAGTGAAAAATGGCTTCTGAACTCCTCAGGCTCGCTTATTTAATTATATAGAAGCTGATTCTTGGTTTTCTGCTTTGCTGACGTTTCACCAAACTGATGCATGATGGGAAAAGCACACTTTAGCTGATTTAAACCAACACATGTAAATTCCTGTTTCATCCCGTCAGAGGTGGGAACGATGTTTGGTGTTCCTCACGTGATGCTGCAGCTCTCCTCCCTGCTGCTCAAAAGTAACTGATGAGGTGAAAAAGTGAGAATCCAGGCAGCAGATTTTCTGGAGAATTATGAGGAGATGCAGGAAGATGAGAGACAGACAGGACAGGAAAATATAGTTAAATACAAACAAGAAAACAAAACAAAGTGTTGAAAAGTAAAATGTAGGTAGATTTATATCCACTAGTGTTTTTACCTGTATGAAACAATAAGTTCTACACATGTAATATTTATACATCTGATACAATTCAGATCACCTTCAAAATTCAGTCACACACCCAGGGCCGTTTCAAGACATTTTGGGGGCCAAGGCAAAATTACCCCCCCCCCACCACCACCACCACCACCACCACCACCACCACCACCAGTGTGACGAGGGAAATATGATCACCCTATATTAAACAAACTGTCCACCCGGGCTTTAGCGCTGCACAGAGACACTTCGCTGCCTATGACTTTGAACGTCAGTTGAGAGTCGGACTGACCAACAAAGAGAGGGCCTCAAGTTAAGACCCTCTCTTCATTGGTCAGTCCACACAAGGTGGGTCAAAGGTTACACTGAGTGGGTTACGTGATTTCAGGCATTCAAGTATTGAGTATATTTACTGCATATTACAGTAAAATATTCTGTATGTGACCATATTATGGTGATCCTTGGGTCGTGATGATGGGGCCCTTTCATATTGTTGCCCAGGGTACAACAAAGTGTTAATCTGGCCCTGCACAGATGTGGTCTCACGCGGCGTTTTGCTGTGGTTTCGTAGATACCTTCTGAATTTAACAGCAGTCACAGATCCAGACCGGGCCAACAGGTATGACGTGACTCTCAGGTGCGACTCCACCTCTTCTTAGAAACCTTTCGTTTCCCAGGGAGCTAACGCTTCAGTAGAAACTGTCAGTAAGTTTGCAGTCATGCGTTTTCATAGTTTCACCTTTTTATTCATTATTTCTTGTTAAAGACGCAGTTAGATTTTCAGTCCCTGCAGAAAAAACTCTTGCAACTTTATTTTACAGTCAGGAGAGAAAAGTTTCCAAAGCCAACAGAAAAAATCTTTTAGATTTATTGATGCAGCAGGGAAAAAAAACAAAATCATACACGTATGTAAATCTAAGCTTTGAAACAACAAACAAGAGAAGATTTTTACCAGAGATTATTAAATCACACTTTAAAACCAAACCAGCTGCTTTCCAAAGCCTTTCTCTCTTTAGACACATTTTAAATGAGGTGCTCTGAGCGATGATGACAGATCCTTTACAGCAGCAGAAAATACTGAGCTCATGATAAAACTCAAGAAAAGCTCTGTGATCGTATAGCTATGTCTGACGAGCTGAGATCAGTTGTGCTGTCTCTGGTTGATCTGATCTCCTCATTGGGTCTTCGCTTTCCTGGTGACAGACTCTCGTCTTTTAGCAACAGAAGCGTAGCATCTGGTGGAGACATGAGACCAGCAGGAAATTATTATTATCACAATAAAAACAACTTCTGGGTTTTATCACTGAGTCAAATAAAACAGTTTGGTGTTTGGCTTTCTGATCTGATCTCCAAGACTCATTCTCTCTGGGTTCCTTCATGAGCAGCATTTGTTGTACCTTCGCTGGAAGAGGTAGAGGAAGAAGAGGAGCTCGTCTCTGAAGCAGGAGAGCTGGTGGGAGGAGGAGAAGGGTACAGGAGAGCCAAAAGAGGAGGCGCAGAAGCACAGATCTGAAATCAGGGTGTTCATTCCCTGATGAGAGAAGTCTGGAGATGAATACATCAAAGAGTGGGAACCAAATGCAGCTGCAACACTGAGATCAGTGAAGAACTTACTCTGTACATCAACACTGACCCCTGCAGGTGACTCACTGACTGCAGCTTTTCCACGGAGAACAAAAACATGTTAATTTTACTCAGTCAGCAAACTCTGACCCCGACATTCAGCAGGCGGGTTACCTGACCTTGTGGTTGATGAAGAGCTGAGGAGCCATGGACAGAAAACCAAACGCGTACACTCCTACAGGAGAGCGGACACTTGTTTAATGTTAACTTCAGAACATCTGGCCAGAGATCAGCTGAAGTAGAACGAAAGCTCACCGGTGATCAGGGTGTTGATCAACCAGGAGTAATAACTGTCGGAACAGAACAAAGTTATAATAATAAAGTATTTATGTAGTTCGGTTTCCTTCATGATAAATTCATTCTGTATAAAAGCAGCAATTATATCCCAGAAACAAGCACCCTAAAGTGTTCTCCTATATTTTATTTTGAAATAATGACGCTGTAATAAACATAAAACTGAAAGTTTATGTGGCACGGATGAAAGTGGTCATACTTTTTTTGGCGTAAGTATCCCAGCGAGAAAACGGCTCCACTGATGCACAGAGGATACACCAAGTAGGACAGCAATTGGGACGCCTGCAGAGGGAATCACACTTCATTAGACTCAGTCCAGTCCAGAGTGGGGGGGGGGGGCAGACTAACAAGAGAAACCTGAGCATCGTACTCCACCGTCTTCCTCTCCTCCTCATCCAGCTTGTTTATCTGCAGTAAGAAAAGAGCTTCGATAAATCGCCCCACGCCCCGAGAACCCGGCAAGGCCTCATACTCACACGAAACCTTTTACCGAGATGGACTTTAAACACTTTGAACACCTTCCACACCTGATGGGAACAAAGATCATTGTTATCATTAGATCTGTTTAACTCTTAATTGTTAGAAGAGACCAGCAAACCTCCACACAGGCTCCCAGTCCAACAGGAAGGAGAACCAGCAGACTGGTTTCCTCCAGCAGACGGAGGAAAATCAGCAAAGTGCCAAGACAGCGCCACAGAACTACGAACGGATGAGACCAGTTACAGTAAACAAATGCATGTCATCTCTCAAACACATAACGATGATAAACACCCGATTTCCTCGACATCCCTGCGATGCTCTTCTTCTTCCTCCAAAAACCGATGTCCTTTTTTAGAGCCAGAAATTCACAGATGAGCTGAGCAAAAGCAGAAAAATAAATAAATAAGCCGCCCCGAGACCCGGTTCTTAGACTATTTAGTAGGGATGCACCGATGGATCGGCAGTTGATTGTAATCGGCCGATAGCTCCCCTATCGGTTTTGATCGGAGTTTTCAAAATAGATCAAAGCAGACGTTGCGCGCTTCGTTGTTTACGACCAAAACTTTCTTGAAGCTAAAGCTGAAATAATGGCCAAAGGAGGAGACGGCAGTGCTCAGGACATTTATTATCCCTCAAAGAAGACAAAGTCGGTAGTACGGGCATTTTTTAGATATCTGAAGAATGCCGAGGGAGTTTATAGAAGACGGCTCTCCTGTTTGAAGCACGTGCAGAAAAAGTGTCTGTGAAAGGCAGCAACGCTTCAAATCTCATGACACATCTGCGTGACCATCACCCACAACTCTACAGTCAACGCAAGGCAAGCTAACGTTAGTGTTTTAGCTAAAATGCGTGATCCGAGGATTTGGGTTGAGGGAGAATGCAACGAGTCGCTATATAAAGCAGCCGCAGCGCCGCTAACTGCATGTAAACCGTGTCGCGGACACCCCCATGTTGAAATGACGCTATGCATTACGGGGCTCCCAGGGGCAGATAAGAGTTGGTCTCTCTCCGAGAATAATTATGAATTTAACAAAGATTACTGCCTGATGACATGTTCCCACATCTGCAAAGCTCACTGGAAGGACACAAACCGAGGACAATACTTTCCTGATATAGGGTTTATTACTCAAGTAAGGGTAAAAAAGTATCTGATTAGAAGGCTACTTGAGTACCGAGTATCATCTGATCTAATATTTTTAAAATGATGACATCAAACAGACATAAAATAAGAAGTTATGGGCAAATATTGGTATTTTAAAGACTAAAGGGGAAAAATGTAAACAAATAAACAACATAAAATAATACATTTTAGGCTAAATTTAGACACAAACTGAGGACAATATTTCCTGACATACAGGGTTTATTTAATTTTGTGAAAATGTAGCACGTTTAAAAAAAATACCGCGATAATACCGAAAACCGTGGTAATTTTGGTCACAATAACCGTGAGGTTAAATTTTCACACCGTGACAACCCTAATACAGACCATTTTAGATTAGGTTACATTGCATTTATTCCCAGATTATGTAGTTTGTAGCACTCATTATAATGTTGTATAAAATTTCTGGCCAATCCACGTAATCGGTATCGGTGATCGGCAGCAAAAAACCTGATTGGTGCATCCCTACTATTTAGTCAACACGGTAAAAACGTAGAGTGAAACGTGTTCTCTTACCTGTAGGGCTGTGGTGAGCGCCGTCAGCACCAACAGGTAGAGGTCAGATCCCATCAGAGTCGCTTTGATCTCGTCCATGTTCTCCTCGGTGAAGCCTTCAGAAAGCACACATTCATCACCATGATAGCAGACAGCTGGAGTAAGTAGATGCTCCATTAGAAACACACAGACTCCTCTCACCAAACTGCCTCAGAGAATACACAATGTCGTGTAGATGGATGGAAAACCTGAACTTTCTCAGAGAGATTCCTTCGTAGGACACAGTCAGAGGGAGCTGCGCGGTGCTGATGTTGATCTCCTGCCAGCAGATGGATGGGTGCATTCATTTTTAAAAGCTAATAAATGATTTAAACCTGCACAGAAGACTTTCCCCACCACCAGATCTCTGACTCTGAAGCCGAGCTCGTCGATCAGCAGCATAGGGAGGTAAATCGTCCGTCCGCCTTCCTGGGAGCTGCAAGAAAAACAGTCAGATTGATGAAGACTGAATATTTTCTGCAGACACAGAAAAGCAAAAATCAGCCTCGGCTTTCTTTAACTCCTCCTGTGACTTACACTCTTATGTAGCGACGCACGTCACTAGGAAGTCCCGCCTTACTGAAGCTAAAGTCCTCTGACATCATTGTGATTGACAGGTGTGGTCTCCAGTGGGACACAGCGCTCTCGGGTCTCAGGTTCTGACGGGTACACGGGGTGAAAAAAGACAGACATGCAGCAAATTCTGCTGAGATCTGACACTGTTTTACAGAACTGGAGAGGAAGTGTCACCTTGTCCTGGACTCGTGTGCGTGGGCGGGTGACGTGTGTGGTGAGACGAGACGAGTGGTGGACCTCTCTTCTGTCCTCCAGAGGAGAAACTCCAGCTTTGTGAACATAAACAACTGCATACAAAGAGCCATTAGCTCGGGTTGGCTCAGGAAGAGACACGTTCACCTGCCTGACAAGGGGATGAGAAATATTCACATATTAAAAAATAAATATTACTATTATTTGAAGTGATCACATCATTAAACCAAACTGACTTTTCAAAGGTAGAGTCGGGGTCAAAGGGGTCGAGTTTTACAGCTAGGCTGAGGGGGCTGTCGTCTGGTTGGAGGCAGGTGAAGACACTCAGCTGGATAAAAGAGGAGAGAAACATGAAACCTCAACGTTTTATATCCAAATGTCATCGAGAATTTACAGCACTGATTTCCGATTTGCTTCAACCGAGTCTTCCTCGGTCAGAAGGAACAGTCAACTCCATTGGTACAGTTCAAGCTGTTTATTAGCATTCTGTTCCAGTGTGTACGGATGTCCTCAGAGAGAGGTTTATGTGTGTGTGTGTGTGTGTGTGTGTGTGTGTGTGTGTGTGTGTGTGTGTGTGTGTGTGTGTGTGTGTGTGTGTGTGACTGTGATGTGATTATCTAGAAAATACAAATAAAGGAGAGATTAACAGACAGCAATACATGATGGTCAATCTACAACCCTATACAATGATTTTCCACCTCTAGTACCACAATCTACACCTTCATAATACATCCACCAGATGGCACTATCAAGTGACAAATATCAGCTAACTTTAGCAGGCCAACAGTTTGAAGATTGGAGACACACCACTAATAGATTAAATCCTGTCAAGCGACTAGGATAAATAGCACAGCAAACACACCCAACACACTGTAGGCCCCATCATGGCGTTGGATTCTGTAAATCTGTACTATACAGACTAAACACTCCACAAATAACAATAAACAACAATAGGGGACATCAATCCATGTTTATACATGCACATACATTCAGCTCAGCTTCCATACTCTCATAATAAGTGCGCACACAGGAGTTATACACCCAGGAAACACTGACAAACACCTCAACTCCTCTCAAAACAGCCGGGCACACTCAGGATGCCATATAATATGCTGAGGGGCATCATGGGAAATGTAGTGTGATCAATGCAACACAAACGAGGGACTTTTAACAGTCATGACACAAGAAAACCAAAGCAACCCTGCTATGTGCTAACTGGACCGCCCAGGTTCCTGTTACCTCTGACATATTTAGTGATGAATAAAGAAGCATGTGCAACCTGCAGTCTGGGTTTAGCAGCCAGGTAGGAGACGATGCAGAGCTCTCCTCTTCCTCCGTCGCAGGGTTTGGTGCTGAGGAAGCCGTAGAGCATCCAGGCGCTGTGGAGCGCGTACACCACAAACACACCCAGCAGCAGCTTCGTGGTGGAGCTCCTTTTCCCCCCGCCTTCTGTCGCGGGTTTGGAGTAACAGGACGGGAACATGGCTAACGATGGAACTAAACAAAGAAAGAGACCCGATTTAATCTATAACATAATATAATCCACACAGATTCATCCGTTCCGCAGCATCATCCCGGTTTCCCGCATCCCGATGCAGACGCTAACCTGCTCGGCTCCGCCCTCACTAGATTTGGATCACTACAGAGAAAATCTGGCTACAAATTACGGAAATTGCCTGTTTTTGCTGGATGATTAATGTTTAGACACCGTTTACTGTTCAGATTGTCTTCTATTTGAAAATTGATTAAAACAATGACAAAAACAAATATGTAAACTAGCAGGTTGTTTAAAAATATTATACAAAACAAGCAATTTAGACAATATAAGAATAAAAAGCGAGTAAAATCGGGAGATTTTTTTCTGATACAATACTCGTAAATTTTACTTTGAAATCAATAGTTTTTGTGAAAATAAAATCTCAGAATTCAGAAATCAAACCTTCAATTTTACTATTGTCACCACCCCTATTTATATACAGGTATATATATATATATATATATATATATATATATATATATATATATATATATATTCAGCACACCGATTTCTCTCACGAATGCAGGAAGGTTCACAAATGAGAAGCTGTTCGTAAATGCACGTTCAGCAATTCATATGATCTGTGAGTTTATATTACAAGTGTTCTTACAAATTATATTTGTGAACCACAGAGTGTGAACTTCAGAATTAGCTGTGCATTTGTGGAAAATGTTGCGTGACTTATTTTTTCACATTATATTTATGAGTCAAAGAGTGTGCGCGCGCACACACACACACACACACACACACACACACACACACACACAAACGCTGAAAACGCACGTGGCGCTGCACGTGACGCTGCCTGTTTACGCTTTATTACGTCGCTTTGTTACGTCATCCTGCCAGCCTATAAATAGGGCGCTAGAACCCCTTTGTCAGTCAGTCAGCTAAGCTTAGCTGGAACGAGGAGTGGATTCGGAGATCTCTTGTCAACTCGTACACTCAGAAATTTCTGAAAATTTACTGCAGAATTCCAACAGTAACATACCGTTTTTCCAAATTACGGTAGGATAATGTTAAATCTGATGTTTTTCTGTTGAATAATGACAGCTGGAAAATTACGGCAAAAAACCGGTCTGGTCTAATACAGTATTTCCTTTGAAGCACATTTTTGAAGTTGTCAACTTGAACAGCCAGTTATGTTGAAGAAGAAGAAAAAGAAGACAATCACTCTTCATCCTCCAACTTGAAAGCTTCTGAAGGGTGAGTTTATCACTCTTAAGAATGTAAATCATGGTTATGGTTAGTATTAAGTCAATATATAGATCACCAGAAACCCACTTGTCAAAGTTTAGCATACTTACAAAACATGACACGAAATGAAACATCACTTGCACCATAGTAATTTTAGGAGTTTTATGGTGGAAAGTTAAATATTTATTTTTAATGACTGGAATTTTAGATTTGTCATGTAGGACCACGTTTTCGTTTTTCATCTTTGTACATTCATGCTAGCGTTAGCATCTGAACTGGAGGCTCTTTAGTGAGATATTTCATTAATAACTATTAATGTGCATCAGTGCCGCTGCTGGGCTCTCTATCAGGCGTACCGTGGTTGGCGGACATTCTTTTTGGGCCAGCAGTACCGACCATCAACATATATACTGGACAATTCATTTCCATAGGCTCCAATAACACATTTTTGTGCCAAAATGGGAGGTGGCCACCACCGCCATTTTGACCGTGTCACAGGTTCCGTCAAGCCCAGACAATTCCACAAAAGTCAAGAGAGGTGGAGCTGAGGGTGGGGCTGTAAGGCTGGGATCAACTGACGACACCCGGTCGAACTAGCTACAAGCTAACCTGAAGCTACCAAAAGCTAACGCAGAGGTGGGAGCTAAGCTAACGAAGGTAGCAACCATCGACATATATGGTAGCAACCTAGCTACAACCGGAGTTAACTGTGCACAACACCAGAGCTTCTGAGTCAGAGATATGCTGGGCTGACCGCTGGGTAAAACCGGGTGGAACACAGTGGTCTTCCGAAAGCTGCTGAAAGCCGGCAGCCCCCGCAGCAGACAGAAGCCGCGATCAGACAGAGATGCGCCGAGCTGCGGGGAGGGGAGAACCACAAGCCGGCAGCCCGTGCAGTAGAGCCCTGCACTGAAGCCCTAGGCCCTCGGGTCGGCCTGGCCCGTGGGCCGGGCCTCGGGCCAACAGCTGTGTAATTACCTCGGACACGGGCCGGGCGCCTTTATTTTTAATCGAATTCATGAAAAAAGTTGAAACACTTAAATGCAGCAGTAGAGCCCTGCGCGGGACTGTTTTCTTCATTCCTTTCCTGCCCGCTCCCGCTGGATTTCTGACCATTACCGCCCGCACCCGCAGCGTGCATGTCTACTCCTGCCCGCAACCGCAAAACTCTGAGAAATTATTACCTCACAATAAAAGAGATGTATTGAGTTTGCATCCTCAACATGTCATTTTAAAGGCAATACCGGGGGTCGGCAACCCGCGGCTCTTCCATCCATCTGATGCGGCTCTCTGTGCTTTAAAATAATGAATGGATATTTAAATAAAATGCTTTATATTTTACTGACTTAATTTTACATCTGTATGCCAATTCTAAATGTAAAGATTGTCTGCGTAAACCTGAACAGGTCCAACCCGGTCTTACTGTGAGACCGGGTTGACGCGTCACGCTTGTGCGTAATCATGCGCTTCTGAGCTGAAGAGGATGTGAGATTCTGGCTTCTCCTCAGACGGCTCATGGATGTGTCGCCACATTGGAGACAGGAACAAGCACTATTCAGCCAAAGTTTCATAATCAGGGAACATTTTCTAAGTGACAATTCTCTCTGAGAGTCAGGGTTTGGAAAACGCTCGCTTCAGTGGGAGGAATCTTCCCGCATGCGCTCTGGTTCTGCGACGCGCACCAAGCTCCTCTCCACATCTTCAGCTCACTGTGTACCTTATGTAGTGCACGCTGACAGTGAGCTGCGCTGAGCAATGTCCAGCTCAGATGTTCAGATGGGAATCTTTTCTTGGGTGATTTAGCTACATCTGCGATGTGTGTAGAATAAAATGTCAGTTCGTCTGCATGCGTCGGGGTAATTCTTTCTATTATTCCTCCGTCAAAATAAACCGTCAAATACGGGAACTATCCGGTCAACACAAGCCCTGCTTTTAACTGTTTTGATTTCTTGTGAAAATAGATCAAATTAAACTTGATTAACACCAGAGCCAGGCGTACAGTGCAGTGTGCATGTTTCTGGGGTTAATCAAGTTTAGTTGTTTCTCTTTGCAACAATCTTCACAAGAAGGCAAAACAGTTAAATGGCAGGTTACAGATATTTCCATTTGACTGTTTATTTTGACGGATAAACTCAAGGATGTTGGTTGTTTTGAAAGAATTACCCCGACGCACACTGATGCGCATGGATGAGCTGACATTTTAATTGTTAACGCACATCGCGGAGGTAACTAAATCAAGAAAAGATTCCCATCAGAACATCAGAGCTTTATACTGGACACTGTGTTCAGCGTGGCTCGGAGCGCCCACGGCGGACAGTGGGCTGATGATCTGTAGAGGGGTTCGCAGCGCAGCGCAGAACCATGGTGCATGCGATAAGATTTCCTCCCACTGAAGCGGTCTGGAAACCCGGTCTCTCTGAGGGATGTGTCACTTGGAAAAATGTTCTTTTTATGAAATTATGAAACTTTGGCTGAATAGCGCTTGTTCCCGTCTCTAATATGGAGACGCATGACGCATCCAGTCTGAGGCAGAATAGCCTCTTCAGCAGCTCAGAAAGCTCCTGTAGAGACATTTAATCACGCACAAAGTTTATGTGGAGCAGAAGCGGTCGGGCCACGGCAGGTGAAATGTTCCTAGCCTACAAGAAGTGAAACTGTTTAATTGTAACATTAATATGTTACTGGACACGCTGGTCTGGTTGGTTAGACCAGTGTTTGAAGTGGAAAACACACACACACACACACACCAATTAAAATAATGCTGATAGCATGGACTAGAAGACAGGTGATGGTTTACGTATTTAAATGATGATCAGGCTGCTGTAAAATGTAATCTCCATCCACATCCAGACACAGTTATCCTCTATTCTTTCTCTATTTGCTCTGCTCTTGTCTGGGCTGACGGTGCGCGCGGCGCGCCTAACTAGCGGCTGATGCACATTTTCCGCATTTGGAGAGGTGGGCTGGATGCTTTGCTTTTACTGGAAGATGGTCCACTTAACGCACGGGTGTAGACTACATATTAATGACAAATGAATGAAAATTAAATTGTGAGTTTTTACTTCAAATTTTAGAAATAAAAATGACGGGGGAAAACATTTATGACGTCTTTTTAAACGAAATTTTCTAGCGCGACCTGCCTGCTTCACTTAAGTCACTGCTTATTAAGGTCCGTCCAGAATTACCGTGGGAAACGGGTAATAATGGCTCTTTGATGGGAACAGGTTGCCGACCCCTGGTATAAGATCTGAGCTGGTAAAACAAAAATCCTCATCAGCAGGCGTTTTTGAAAGTGGGGGGGACACAGCTGCCAATCACAAATTTTGCCGGGGACATGGCCCCGGCGTCCCCGGTTAAAATGACGCCTATGATTCTATGTAAAGATTGTCTGCGTAAACCTGAACAGGTCCAACCCAGTCTTACTGTGAGACCGGGTTGACGAGTCACACTTGTGCGTAATCATAGCTGAAGAGGATGTGAGATTCTGGGCTTCTCCTCAGACGGCTCATGGATGTGTCGCCACATTGGAGACAGGAACAAGCACTATTCAGCCAAAGTTTCATAATCAGGGAACATTTTCTAAGTGACAAGTCTCTCTGAGAGACGGGGTTTGGAAAACACTCGCTTCAGTGGGAGGAAGCTTCCCGCATGCGCTCTGGTTCTGCAACGCGCTCCCAAGCCAGTCTCCACAACTTCAGCTCGCTGTGCACATGTGCGCTGAAAGCGAGCTGCGCTGAGCAGTGTCCAGCTCAGATGTTCAGAT